AAAAGAGTTCTGTAGAATAAGTTTCATATCAGTATTGTAAACTTTCCATAACTTTTAAATTTGACATTTTCAGTAGGCCTAAAAAGTCCCTTATCACACCTTATCCTTTGCTTAAAGTAACTGGACACTCGCACTGTCACTCAAGTTAATGTGTTGGAACCAACCCTACAATATTACACCACCAATAAATTTAAGGGCTCTTTAGATCATGTAGATTGAAAATAATGGCTGAAAGCCTGGAAGACCCAGGGAACCCAAATCATTCAGAAAACAGTTCAAAACGGGTGAATTTGAGAATATTCAAGTGTATGAATATGAATTTATTTTGGAAAATATAAAATGTCTTCTCTCTATGACAGTTCATCCATATTTTGTGTTGTGGATGAACCTATATACATGTATAAGCCAGAAGGTTAATTTGGCATACAGTGTCAATATTTACCTTACATCAGAGAGTATCATCCTAATACCATCTGTCCCTGTTTGAATTATGTTAGACTAATGAGATTTCTTCAGTTAAGCAAAACTATTTCACAACCCATCATGTATCCTTCTTAGATCACAATGATTAGCTAAATTAGTCCATTCAGGTTGTGGACACCCCTACCCAAGCATGTCATAAGTCTATTTTGTTTTGGCAATTTTTGCTTGGGCCTCAATTCAGGCTTTGGTTCTGGGACTGAGACATCACCATTGTTGATGTGGCGGTAACACCAGCTCCAAGTAACCTCAGGAATGTCGTCATTCCCCATCAATGTTTTCCCTCGGGCATCAGATGCTTCTGTGGATTCTTGGTTGGTGTGGCTCTTGTTCTTAAAAACTTGTTTCTTTTCCTTGCCAGTTGTAATACGGGTGGTAGATTTCAAGGAAAGACTGTTCTGAAAATCATTATGCATTTCAGTGATTTAATTATAGGAGGCCAGGGCTCTTGGTCCTTATTAAGTATAATAGCTTTAGGGGTGTTTAGATTCAAATACATGTATTATAACTTAAGACCATAAAGGGCCCCAGGATCCTCTTTAGTTTCTTACACTGTATTTAGCACTCATCTTATATGAGATGGATGTGATCTCAGAAACGGCACCTGTATGTGGTCAAAGTTATCAACAATGAAGTTAATGTTTTCAGTGTTTTAGTTAAGGGATTATTATTAGGTTTAAGGTGTTTTGTGTTTAAAAGGTATAGCTGGAATATATATAACCTTATTGTAATGTCTTTTTTTCGTGGTTAGGAGTGAGGATGTGGTTGTAATTAATTACTAGCTCACTATTACATTAAGTTATTTGTCCAGGAGGTGCTGGAAGTGGACTTGATTCTCTGATTCTATGAATCTCACAATAATGACTCGCTCACTCACGCACGCACACACTCACATGTGCACACTACCACCCACACCCCTACACCCCCACAACCTCACAACCCCACACCCCCTCCAAAACAATCCAGATCTATTCTCAGGTTTTTGTGTCCCGTAAGTCTGAAGCTATACATCATCATAATGAAATATTTGGTGGTACTTGGAAAGTACATTCTTGAAATACTCTGACTATTTCATCTCATGAAATTTAAATCGGTCGACTTTTTTCACCATCTTATGCAAGTGCTTCAATAACAGAATTGTTGAGAAATCATATCACAGCATTTATTCCTTGATGAATCAACAAGCGCCCCGCCTGCCTCCATGGCTGTAGGGCAAAGCCAGGATATTTGTCCATAGTCTTGTTCACCATGCGATAAGTGTGTTTGACTGTTTGCACATTTATCTTCACATTTGTCTATTCAATATCTATATCAATGCAGGACGAATTCGAACAGTCAAGGCACGTTTGTGTGGCTTTTTCGGGTATCAGTATGAATGCAATACTTTGTACGTCTCAAACAGTTTGTCATGATTTAATAAGGAGGGTTACACCTATGAATACAGGCTGTCACTGTTATGCATAATAATCAAGCTGTTAGGTGTTTCAGTTGCACGTGCATCTGTCGGACTTGGTATGCGTGATGTGCGAATGTACTCCATAATCTGTAACTGAAAATAGTTTCGCTGTTGACATGAAATAAACAAGTGTGTTGTACAACATCTGAGTAAATAGTTCTCTTTATTAATATTTTGTCAAACCTTATTTTAGATTCGAAATCTTCCAATGGAATTTGATTAAGATTTAGCATGTGAAGGTGTAACTGTTTAATATCAGTGCTTCAAATAGTTCTTTCTGCAATAAGCATGACAAGTGTTCCAAGAAAATATTTTCGTTTGATGAAACTGTTAAAGAATAAGACACTCCCGAGATGAAAAGCTCTATTTTGGGAATCTCTTTGTCAAATGGGATGCGACATTATCGCATTAGTATTCATACAGAAACCTGATACGTTTGAAATATTGAGATTTAAGTTTTCGTCCGTCTCATATGAGGACCTTGGTGGATAAGATGTTCTGTCAATATTGGTTTTAGTTGACAGGTATCTCACATAATAAGGCATTTGCCCTACGTATTTGAAATGTTAAATGTGTTTAATCCTAGTGTGAGAGTAGATGCTAGATGTATTTAACGACAGGGAAGATTGCATCTTATCAGTTTTAGCCCCCGTTTACTGTTGGATGTTAACACAGTATTAGGGACATGATGTTAATTCATTGAAAGCATTCATAAATGAGGTAATAGATTTTGTGTGGATAGTCCTCTCCGTGTCATATGACCTAACACTACACACACATAAGGTTCAGTGTACATATATGTACACCGAGCTTCCACTCTTCTCTTCCTCTTTCCAACTCTGACATCTAAACCTTTGTAAGTGCTTAAACGAGCAGAGGTATTCAAACCAGCCGTTTGATCTCTGTCAACTAATACATATGTTTTGTAGTCTGGGAAAGATGAGGTGCATATCTAATGTTTGCATTGCCTCTTGTATAATTGATTTTTCTCTTTCCGAATTCAGTTCCTTCCATATTCAATATTACTGTCATGTTAGTTGTATTGTTAAAGATTTGATTTACATAGGTAGGTTTCCACATCAAAGTGGGCCTTCATATTTGAGAGTTTTTCACGTAATTTGATATTTATTTTGAATCAATCTGTCAAGATTAAAGTTCAAATATCAGGTGGTTGCTATGTTGTGTTGAGAGACTGTTTTGATGAGTTGATTGTAGTGGGCAGAGCACTAGTGAAAAGCTTGGTATATGTTTACCATGACATATCATTAATGTGTTTGTCAAGTACAACCCCTGACAAGATTTCACACACCTGCATCTGAAAAAGATGTCAAGAGGTTAAATTTATAAAAAAGTGTCACATTAACAGCTTTTTTTGAATTTATGACTATAATAAAATACATTAAATATAGGGCAGCGGTGGTTTCTTAGATATATGGACTATTTTTTGTATGCTCATTTTACCCTGTCTGAACAACAAGTAAAAACAGTTGTTGATGCTACCCACGTACATCGTTACAGTAAAATGACCTCATTTGTGGTGGGGAAATATATTTTTTTATTGGCACACGTTTGATGTTAAATGTTTTGCTTGGATTATTTGATCTACCCATGGCGAAGACTATGGTAGATGTGTAACTGGTTGTAAATAATTGCATGATAACTTGAAGGTGTTCTCGTTTCTCCTTTGATAATTGTTTTTGTTGGTGATTTGTCGTCAACAGACCTGACAGTTTCTTTAATCCAGGGTTTACGGCTCCCCTGTAGCTTACACTGTCATAAAAGATAACAGGGTTTGAAATAAAAGAGTCCTTGTATTAGAGTGCCAATTGCACAGTTATTTAAAAAGTATTGTTAAAATATGTTTCTGGTGCTTGTAGGGTGAAGTTAGAAATCATACTTTTTGTAGTAGACGTACCTTGTGGCGATTTATAGTATTTGAAGCCAGATTAGTGTGCTTTTGCATGAGTAAGATGGACAGACACATGGTAAATGATGACCCTTTGAAACTGCTTGATGCTATGATTCATGAAATTAACTTGAAATTCAGAAATTGAAAAGGGTGTTATGAATCTCATGGTAGATGGAAAGGAAGCTGGCAAACTTTCTATATTACATCTCCTTATTATCTAGCTCATGGTAAAAAGACATTCATCTTATTTGTAGATGGATAAATAATATTCTTGTTGGCACATTTGAATTCCAAAAGGCACACCTAAACGTCTGTATGAGTTGTGTGGCACACTTGAAAAGACAACATTTCTTGTGGTTATTTCAGAGGGACCATAGTACATGAAGGAGTGATCATCTGGGTAGTTTGAATTTTGCCTGCGACTTGCATGCTGTAGTGTTGTGGGAATTCCAGGACATTAATTCTATTATGTAATGTTTGATAGGGTTGGGTTATTATTCCCTGCATAAAGTGGCAGGGGGATATAGGAATGGGTGCAGTTTGTCCGTCATGTTTCGTTTCTGGAGCAGAACTCAAAACCATGTGATATATCTTAACCAAACTTGGCACATAGATAGGTCTAGTGGAGAACTGGTGCCTTTTGATAGTTGTGATTTTTGAAAATTTGTTTTTCGAGTTTCCATGGCAACAACTTTGTCTTGAAAATGGCGGTAGTTTGCCACACAACCTGGGGATGTGAGTATTTCATGCTTGTTGATGAATACTCTAAATATGGTGTCAACCAACATTAACTCACTTGTATGTGTATTATTCAAGAGCTGCAGAACATGCTGTTGATGGCTGTCATGTGCTTCCCTTGATCCCAAAACGTCTAAGAAAACATCTTGTATGTATTTCTACCATGCTATATTTGTCAAAGTATTGTGATTGTGGTGGAGTAGTCTAGTGGTTAAAACATTAGCTACGCACGACAAAACCCCTGGTTTGATTCACTATATGGGTACAATGTGTGAAGCACGTTCTTTGTGTCACCTGCCATGATATGGCTGGAATATTGCTAAAAAGCAGAGTGAAAACTTAGTGTCCAACTTTCTATCAAAAGCCTGTTCATTCTGTCTATCAGCCATGTATTACCCGAATTTGTCTCCTTTGCAGTATGCTGAGACTGTTAGCAACTTCCAGAGGAGGGATGAGATTTGTGAGAAGACCCTGGAGTTCCTGAGGACCAGATCCACAGATATCCCTGTGAGCAGACAGTCACACCAGATCCTGGAAACACTGTTGTACAAGACAACTCTAGTTGTGCAGTCGGGGAGGTACAAGACTGGACTCACATACTTACAGGTAACTGCAATCCACGACTCATACATTCTTGTGCTCTGATGTATTGTGTGCTTGTGGGTGCCTGGATGGCCCGATTGTCTTAGGCCCCACAATTCGATGTGTTGTCTATTCTTCAGGTGTGCTTGATACCTATGGTCAAGTGTTCAAATGCTGTCTTTGTTCTGATTATGATGTTTGATTTGACAGAACTAAACCAAAACTCATAGGTTTCACCAAAGTGGTACATGTATAAGACCTGCATCACTTTGGGCTTTCCTCATACGGGGTACATCAAGCTGAGAGGTCATCATATAATTGAAATACGGTTCAGAGAGGCATTTCATTAAACTCACTTCCTGTTTTGCATATTGAAGAACCGTGTTAGAATAGGTCTTCAGCAACCCATGTTTGTTGAAAGAGGCGACATGGTTGTCGTAATAGGTGACTAACGGGATTGGGTGGACATGCTCACTGACCGACTTGATGCATGTCGTTGTGTCCCAATTGCATGGTTTGATGTCCCATGATATCAATCACTGGATTGTCTGGTCCAGACTTGATTATTTACAGACTGGTGTCATATAGCTGGAATACTGCTGAGTGCGGCGTTAAACAACAAACAAACGTTGGCTGTTATTTGAATCTGTATTAAGATTGTGGAAATCAATAATTGTGGAAATTTTTAGGTAGAATAGGTCCCCATAAGTTGGCCAAAACCCATTGTTGTTCAGAACTGCTTACAAATAGGATCGGTGGCCATACCATGATTTTGGACTCATTAATATGTTATCTTACCCCAGTGGTATTGATCAATGCTCATGCTGTCAACCACTGGTCATGCATGGCCCAGACTTCATTATCAACAGAGAGATGGTTTAAGTTAAGGCCGGGATATTGCTGACTACCAAAGAGAGGCACATGCTCAGAACAGAACAGAACTTTATTTACGCTAAGGCCGGGATCCCTGGCAAATGAGGTACAAATTTGCAAACAGTAAATACATAAAATGGAGGGATGGTTTACATGGAAGATGTTACAGTTTTCATAATGACATTACAGAATGTACAGAGTTTCTTAATAACATTTACTTTTTTTACAATTAAAACGTTCTTTATATTTAAACATAATTGGGTTTTTAGCATTTGAAATTTGAACATATATTTTCCGTTGGGGTTTTAGAAGCTGTCAAATCACATAGCAAGTGCCAGACATCAACACATTCATCCACTCGTGTAAAAAATGGTTTACCTAGTTCATCATAATAAATATCAAAATATAAACTGAACGCTTTAAGTAGGTATATTATCAAGGCCTTAAAGATATTTACGACAGTGGAAAATTGCGGCAGTAAAAGCTATCCTCATGGAACAGATGTAAAACCTATGTTTGTAATGAGGCAAATTATGATGCATGTTCTGTTAAATTGTTTCTTTCATGTCTGTCTGCCTCTTGGTCTGGCCTCCTATAAGTATGCAGCCTGTGAATATATCGCAGAACAGCTCCTAATGTGCTCAGATTGTTATTGGCACAAACTTGCACCACTGCATTCATCTTGATGAAAACAATACTGGGGGTGGGGCATGTATGCATTGTAAACTCTGCTGGCGGATTTGTGTTTGACACTGGGGCAGAAACAAGATCCCAGTATACTTCACAAGTTTGTCTAATGTCATGCACAAGTCAACTTGGGCGACGCTTTATGTAAGAAGAACAGGAAGCGAAGAGAAACAGTAGTCAAAGTTGTGCACTGACCTTCTCCCATGCCCCATCCCTCATTTCCACCACCATTTTCGACTTTCATAAATGCAAATCCTGGATTAAGTCCGTCTGGGATGTTTTTTGAAGATGAAGAATAGATGAATTAACTTGTGTGGAGATGTTAAACATGATCTGCCTAGGACTCTCATCAAAGCACTCTCAGCACAGACCTCCATTACATTGGGCAGTCTGTGAACGCCTGCCACACATGATCGGCATATCGGGATCTCATTTCTGTATCTGCCTGTATTTGATGTGCATCCGATTTCACGGTGTCACCCCCCACAGCCTGCATGTTCTTCAAACACAACCAACACCCCTCTTCCCACCCCCTGTGGGTGTTATTGTTAGGCTGGGACTTCCTATGGCAGGGCGCCCCTTGGTGTGTCTCGAGTACACAGGGCATCCCCTACCGCTGGTTCTGTTGTCGCCACTTGCATGTGTTAAAACATGCTTGTTCTGTCTGGAACATGTGTTGCCAAAAACACAAGCGTTTAAAAAATTCTGTAAAATATTTACGTTTTTAACCTGTGATCTGAAAAAAGAATTGGCAAGCTTCTCCCGGGTAATAAATTAAATGTGTGGATGTGTATATGATTTTCATAATCATGTGCTGTTTAAGTTTGGCAAGTTGGAATGTTTAGTTTAGGCTGCATTAAATTGTTTTTGTTTCATGTTCATGATTTAAATATGCATTAGTCTACAGTGATTGTTTCTTTCTGATGATAGAGTTGTCAACCAAACAAAATGTGCTGCCAGAAAAGGATTTCTGAGATGTTTTATTCTTTTTTTGAAAAACTAAGAAAAAAAGGTTTTGTTGTTGTACAATTTAAATTATTTAATGCTTTGTTGCTTGTAGATGTTTGTTGTAGAAGGCTGACACTTGCATTCCACCTATTTTTAATTGTAATACAGTGAGACTGTAAATTGGAAACCTGTGGGGAGGTCCCTGCAACCTATGCTGGTTGTAAGAGGCGACTATGGATCAGGTGGTCAGACTCGGTGACTTGCTTGATTCAAGGTCATAGTAATCCTCAGGTGTGTTTTAGGGCTGGGACGGGTAACTCACGTACTCGGGTCGGGTGGGTACTGAGTAGGACCTGGGTACCCACAGGACTACCCGGACCCGTGGTTAGTCACGTGATAATTGTTTCATGACCAAAATTCAACTACATGGTTACATAACAATTTTAAGTCTCTAATGTTTGCATTTCTTCATGACTATGAACTCTTTCCTCCTGACTTATATATGTTTAAACAAAGCTAAAACTTTAGTCAACTTCAGTGTATGCATGACCACATCGTTTTATTTTGTGTATCTAAATACATTTTGCCAGGGCTACTGTCAAACTATTCCCAATTGGACATTTTGTACCTATCTCTTGAGACCAACAGTAGGTACCCTGGTAGGGTTGGGTAATAGGGGTGTGGGTACCCGGGGAGTAAATTTGGACCTGTCCCAGCCCTAGTGTGTTTCATTGATTGTCTGGTCCAGACATGGTTATTTACTGGCTGCTTTCATATGGTTGGAATATTGCTGAGTTAGGTGTTAAACAGCAAACATACACATTGTTAATCTGGACGGAACCATTTCCAATGAAGTCATCCAGATTGGCAATCAAACAAGACACTCACTCACTAACCCAGCGCCTGCCCATCCACCCACTCTCTCACTTTGTCATGACCCACCCCCCACCCACCCCACATCCCTCACTCACTAGCTGTTGTTCCTCTCATCTACCAACACAGTACTGTTGAATGTGGCTTGCCAAACACTTGAGTGAGAAACATGGCATTAAGCCCACGGTGGCAGTGCAGGTCACTGATTCCTTCAACCAGGTCTGGAGATATCTACATCATCACAATGGCTCTTCACTCATTAAATGTCCTGGTTGACACTTTGAAATAATTAGTGCTGGGTTTGGCTAGTATTTGCAAGGGCAATGTGATATTATTTGCTATTGGTGACATGAGACTTGATGAGCCTAATGTCCACCTCTGCTGTTTGACGTCCCCTGGAACTTTGTCCTTTCCCACCTTTGGCCTTTGCTGGCCCCACTAAGTGAGGGTCATGTTACTAGGGGATGTTACTCCAAGTGTCAAGCAGTATTGTTACTTCCAGGCTTGCTTTCAGAGAACCAACAACGCTGTGCTACCTAATATGATGTCTAAAACTTACAACTGAGGAGGAATGCCATTCTGTTGCCAATGAAGTAATAGGACATGCATCTAGTCCTAATTAGCTCAATTCATCCCAGAATGACTTGCATTTAAGAATCAGGGTTTAGCTTTTTACTTCGCTTTGAAATAATGCGTGTATGTAACTTATCATTAGGAGTCTTTTCTGCCCACTAATAGATCTCCCGCGGAAGTGCCAAAGTTATCAAATGTATCCTATGTTGAGAGTGGGATGTCATCTCCAGTTAGCTCAGATAATGTGTGCTGTGCATGGGACTCAAGTAGGAAATTAACAGCAAATCAGTGGTGATGGAAGGTTTGATGGGCTGATGGTCATGTCACTCAGTGAAAGTCTCTTAGTGAAAGTCGCTCAGGAATCTGTGTTGTGCTTCAGCTTTTAAGTTTTCACTTCTTTGAATTTGATAATGAAAATATAAAAAAAAATAATAATAGGTTAATATGTTGAATAATATTTTCCTTTTTAATCTGTTTCTGCCCCTACGGTAGTGTACATCCATCAATTAACATGACTAGGATTCTTTTGAAAACCCATTCAAGGTGAATTTTAAGTGTTCAAGGAGAACAGCATTGTTTACCACATTTTGCAGCCTGTTCACTGTGTGTGGATGCTGAATTAACAAGTTGTCTTCTTGTTTACAAGTTGACAATCTGCTTCCAGTTTTGGACAGTGAATTCAAGCAATATCATGACATCCCCTGAAGAAATGAGACTTGGCCAGACAAATCAGTGAGCAACATCACATGCCGTCGGTTATGACGAAATGCAATGAGCCAACTCAGACCCTGACCAGAGCCTGAATTCAGTTGCCTCTCTGTTCTAACCCGGGTTCTTGTATTTTCATTTCGGACAGTTGAGAATTTGACATTGTCTTGCTTAGCTGGTCCTGCTCCTTTTAGTTGATATCTTACTGCTTTTAGCTGATATCTTACTACTTTTAGCTGATATCTTACTACTTTTAGTTGATATCTTACTGCTTTTAGTTGATATCTTACTACTTTTAGTTGATATCTTACTGCTTTAGCTGATGTCTTACTGCTTTTGGCTGATATCTTACTGCTTTTAGCTGATATCTTACTGCTTTTAGCTGATATCTTACTGCTTTTAGCTGATATCTTACTGCTTTTAGTTGATATCTTACAGCTTTTAGCTGATATCTTACTGCTTTTAGCTGATATCTTACAGCTTTTCAAATGATTCTTCTTGTTCTGATTTTGTTATGAATGTGGTTGGTGAGATAGTAATTGAAGCTTTCATCATTTCGAGGAACCACAAATTTAGAAGCCTGTTCTTGATGGCTTCTGCCATGATCTAACTGCAGCCTCCCTGTTTAGATTGGTGTTAAATTATCGTTCAAGCACTATGTTTAATATTGACACTAAATTCATATTTTTAGTAATTTACACATTCTATTTGAGTGGCATTTTAGAAGTTAATGTTACAGTGAAGTAAATGAAGACAAGTACCTGTACTGAAATGTTGCATTGAAATAATGGCGTTGAAATCCATGTCAAATCTGTCTTTAGTAATTTACACAGTCAGGCATAATCTTTTACTCCGAATGTCTTAATAATCTGTTCACATTTAATAGCTTTTAAACACCAATATTGGGCAGTGGGGTAGCCTAGTGGTTAAAGCGTTCTCTCGTCATGCTAAGACCCGGGTTCGATTCCCCACACGGGTACAATGTGTGAAGCCAATTTCTGGTGTCCCCCGCCGTGATATTACTGGAATATTGCTAAAAGCAGCGTAAAACCATACTCACTACACACCAATATTATGTTGGTGCACCATGTGTGAGGAATCGTGCTTTGAAAAGTCATTCAAACATGGCCATCCATAACATATGTAACTCCTTTGTGTAAACAAGTTTGCTGCTGATTATCTTAATAGAGCATAATTCAAATATTCTGAACCTTGCCAATTGTTCCTTGACATTCTCCCATGTTGGAAAAAGGCATCTGTTTTCATTTTCCTGGTGACTGTCAGTGTTTGTGCCCCAAGCCCTGGTGTTTTGTATTAAGATGACCCTTCATGAATGTAGCCATTTGAAAGAGTGGGCATTGTAGCACGCCTTGTGAACACATTGGACAAATTATTTTGTCAATCTGAAACAATAATGCTAAAATAGAGAGTCATTTTGAAAAGGGAAGATGTTACTTTGTTTGAACATGTTGAAGGTCATGTATGTCCTATGAGAATAGAGATAGAATATAAGTGCATACACATTTACCGTTGTCCTCTCTTTCTGTCTACTCTTCATCTGTCTTCCTCAATATTGGGATCGATGTTGACTCTATTGACACCTGGTTGCCTGTTTTAGAGCACATATAGGCCTAACACGCAATTCATTTGTTCATTGTAATAGTATTATTGATAAGGCAGACATTGGTGCATCACTTGAAATTCTGTGCTTTAGTTATTTTTATTGCCATTCAACAAATATTTTGCAAAATTCCTGCATCATGTGAGGCATTCTTGGTTACCCATAAAATATAATGTCTGACAACTCACTTTGTATCAAAGGGACGAGTTTGATGTGTGCCGATTTGTGTTTGTTGGTATTGTGGGTGGGGAAAAAAAATAAAGTGTTCTTCCCGCATCACTTTTGTTTTTAATAAAAAATAAATAAAGTCTTACTGCCCTCTTCATTTTTTTAGAAAAGTGTTCCCCAGAAACGTTTAATATTTGTATGCAGCCAAATGATACTACCATATATTAATGTGGTGCTAAAGGGCGTGGGTGGTCTATGATGCAGCACATAAGCTGTGAAGAGTCATGTTCCGTAGCTGTACCAGGATCTGCCGATTGTGGATGTAAATTTCCTCTGAGTATGATCCTTTCTTTGGATTATATTCATACTGGTAGGTTTGTGTAATTTACAAGACAGTAGCACAGAAGGGATATATTAATTGCCTTGTAACTATTATTGAAAACATTTTAATTTCATTGACGTTTGAACAAAGTTTGTTACTTCTGATAAAGGACATCGCTCACAAATACAGTTATGTCACTGTGAAAATTTAACCATCTGTTTTTCCTTTTGCTGTATGTGATGAATATTGATTCAGACCTAAGTTTACTGAATAACCCACTGTCTACCACCCCCACGATCAGGTGACGCTTCAGCTGAGCGCAGTCTGAATCATTAAATAAAATGCTTAAACACCCCTATTCTCTCCCTTTGTTGTGAGGTGTCACTTTACATGGTCAAACACCATACCCCTTCATTGTGTACAACTGTCGCATTGCCTTTGAGGGCCGAACTTAGCTTCGATGGGAGTGACCTCCCCTTGTTGGTGCCAGGTACTATTGTACTGGGACCTGGCCATGTGTCTCGGCAGACAATCGGAGATCCCGCTTTGTTGATTTGCTTAATCCTTGAGACAAGATGATAACAAAACTTAGTCCCGTGCAACACCAATATGTGATATTCCCCTCCGGGCCAGAATGACCATAGTAGGTCGTTACCCGACTCTACATCTTGCTTCACCTGCTTTCCTGTGCAGATCTACTGGTCCAATTAGTGGAGGTGTATTTGGGGAGTAATTACCCTCATTTGCAAATAGATTCTTTTTGGTGTGGTTTACTCAATTTTCTCGTAAAAGTCAAACTTGTTTGAAATGTGAGAGTAGTGTTTATTTGGTAGTAATTAGGTTAACAAAGCTAAAGGTGACCGAATTGTCTGTATTCTGTAACTTGGTTTAATAAATCAGAGCTTTGTGTGTGTCTTCAATGCCCTCAAGCTGTTGACAATCCAAAGAAACAAGTAAAAATGTAATGTATTCTAAGCAAATGTGTTTAATTCATTTTGAAAGGAAGTCAGGTTCGTCATAATTTGTTTTGATGGAGAATAATAATGATACTTAATTAGGAAATGTGAAATGTCATTTTGACTTTCATGCTGGATTTCATTCAGAATATTCAGTTTTCCACCCATACTTGATTTTCTGTTCTGGATGATTCATGATGATCTTTCTTAAGTCTTGCTTTCCTTTTAGCGAAAATATTAAATCTCAAACAAGGTAAGAAATACCTGATTCCAAAAAGGTGTTTTCCTGATTTTTGTGAAAGTTTTGGCATGAAACTAAATCATTTTTGTGAGAAAAGTTTAGAAAGCCGGTCTTGAAGGAGGTACATGTATGCAGAAACATCACTATTGTACATGATAAGCATTATGTAGTATCAGTGATAAAGAATATCACCTGCTTAACCCCTAAATTTAGTTCCCTGGTTTCCTGGTCCGAGGTGTGTTCGGTCATTGGTGGCCCAGAAGTCCAGGGTGCTGACTCTGCTGTGCAGAGTTATGGCCCTTTTCTGTTGCCAGTGTCAATTGTCATTGACCCAATATATGTACTGATTTAGTCATTGGTCTGTCAGCACCTCATGCAGGGTGCAATCACTTACCCTGACCCTTATTCTTTGAAATAACTGAAATGACGTGAGAAACATCTAAACCCAAGATGGCAATGCAGGTAAGGGATTCCTACAACTCTACCCTTCCTATTGTGTTCGCAGACTGTCCTGAAGAAGTCCGGTGAAGATGGTCTGTTGCTGCTTCTGGAGCCAGAAGATCGGTGCGTCCTGTGGATCTCCTACATCCACCTCCTGGAGTTCCATCAGCTGCCCCAGCAGCTCTTTGACCCGGCCAACCAGAACCCAGGCAAAGTCCTGTCCAAGGTAAGAGAAGGCCATTTACAGATCACCATGTGATGAGCTGGCATGAAATAGCGGTGAATGTTATATATTTAAATGAAGAGATTGTTCAATTCTTCCATAGATAGTAGTGTTTGAAATTAAGCCTGTACGTCCAGGGGTCATCATCATAACCCTAATGTTTATAGTTCAAGATTTAGGGGGGTCCTTAGATTCAAATACCATAGTAGATCTCAAATTGTTGGAACATTGCTAAAAGCAGTGTGAAAGTCTATTCACTAACTCATACTTGATTGGACCGGTGTCTAAATCTTTCTTTTTCCCCACAAATATCTTCCATCCTAAGTTTTGGTAGACGTGTAAACCAAACTATGATTATGTAGTTGCCCCTGTTCCAGATGTGCAAACAAACAGGCCACAAGTAATGGCAGAACTTCTCTTTGAAGTTTATTTAATACAGACTTGTTCTTATAAAAACTGCTTTCTTTTAACATTCTCCAAGTCACATTTACTTGGAACTGGTGATGTTGTTGTGCATATTTGGCCAACAGACATGGCCATGTTTCATCAGACATACATTTGTCATGGTCACCCTGCCACAGTTGTAGAAAACTCACATGCTCTGCACAAATATTTCATGTCTTTGGCCACTGATGTAACTAAATTAAACAAATGGTTTTCAAGTGTTGGAAATGGATATTTTTCTCTGTAAAAGAAAAGAAATACCGTATTCGACGTAATATGCGCCCCGCTCTTATAAGCGCCCACGGCGATATTTGATAATATATATTATAATATATATAAGTGAACAATCCCAATTAGCACCCCTTCCGATTGATCAATGTACACAAGACTTATATATTCGTGTATAATATGCATGCGTGTGTTATATGCACCCTTAATTATGGTCAATAACATTCTGGAAAAATATATCTGTCGTATTTATATATGTCGAAATTTATCTTTCAACTCTGTTTTTTCAATCAAAATAATATTCTAATAAGCACCCCCTGTTTCTAATTTTGAGAGCGCCCTGGGTACTTATTACGTCGAATACGGTAGTAGGGATATTGATTGTGTAGGGATATTGATTGTGTTTTCGAGGTTTATTTCCGTGGAACGACAATACACATTAAAAGGGGAATTGTTGAAAAGAACGTCTGTTTGTTTTATGAATCATTATATTTGCAAGTCAAATGAAAGCTGATTTGCTGTATCCTATTGACCCAGTCTTTATCATAGAAGGATTACACAGAATTAGGGTAAGTATATGTCCAGCCCTGAAAAGATAATGCAAACTGAAATATTGGAATACCGAGGAGAATACATACCTGTTTTGACAAACACTTCATTGATGTTGTATAATGTTATAGGAAGAGCATTTGAAGGGATTCTGTTTCATTACCAAATATGATTTCTTTTTTGTCATTTTGGATGACAAATCAGTCAACGTCTTAGAAAATAAACCAGTCTAGAACCCTGTGATTATGGGCAATCATATATCATATTTACCAATATTCATCACACTTCAATCTTTATTATTGAAAAAGAAACTTATCAGGAAGATTATCATTGGAGTAATTGGTAAGGCATTGTTGCTGCAAATACCTATGGCTTGGTAATGACAGTCATCAGGTGTTATCTCATCAGTCTACTTGATAGTCATGAGCTCAAATTGTAACATCTTTCCTTCTATGAGGGGTGGTCTGGTAGCCTAGTGGTTAAAGCGTTCGCTTTCCATACCAAAGACCAAGGTTCGATTCCTGACATGGGTATAATGTGTAAAGCCCATTTCTGGTGTCCCCCGCCATGATATTACTAAAAGCAGCGTAAAACCATATTCACTCACTCACTAACTCACTCTTTCAATCTATGCTTCTTAACACTTGATTGGGATACATAGATATTTCACACTGTTACTAAACTCAGGAGCATCAATGCATTGAAATGTGTACTTATGTTAACTTTAACGTGAAGAGAAGCTGTCCGTTCAATGGCAGTATTGAGAATGATTCGTATGACAACAAATCCAAGCAATCAGATAGGCCCAGGTGGCCCAGTTGTCTTAGGTGCCACTATTACCTGTGCAGAATTGCATCCCTTAGCCATGGCAGGAACATAAGATTGTGGGTTCAAATTCCAGATTACCCTGATAATGTTTTTCTAGTCTTGTAGCACCATACCCTGCTTAGGTTTCATCAAAGTGGTAAATGTCTGAGACCTGCATCACTTAGGGCTTTCCTCCCACATCTGTGTGGTATGATATGGCTGAAATACTGTTGAAGGCAGCGTTAAACAAGACTCACTCACACACGAACTGCCTCACTGAATATATGTGTATGTCACAGGACTGGGAATGTTCAGACAACAAGTTTTATATTAAGAATTACAATCAAATATCAGTTCCTGTGAAAAAGCATTATGAATCATGGCAATGGACATAGCATTTCACACCTGTCGCTGCTGACATAGTCAGATAATATTTAATCCAATAAATGTCGTGTGATTGTATATCAGTGCAAACTGGTCCAAACTGTACCGATTCAATGATATGTAGGACATGATGTTTGTAGACATAATCAAATACAGGTCATGGCTATCTACAAAGCTCTCACCACATCCAGTCTGAAGACATCTCATCGAGGTGTATGTCTGTGTTGCCTGTTGGGGTAATCTGTACTTACATTCTCTATCAGCATTGTGATGACTGGGCTGATTGAGAGAATTGATGGTATGGCTGATACTCCTGCTACTCTGGTGCAACACTGTCAGGTTAATGAATCACTTGGCTCGTCTCAGTCCAATCGGACCTTGGCCAGCAATGGCAGGATTGATTCTGGAACAAGTTGGGTTCATATGACTTTCACAGAGAGCACTATATCTTTGTACAGATATATATCCAAGATAAGGGTCTTTGTTGGAGCCATTGTGTATCTGCAATGAACCTGTTCTCTTCAAAATGAACAGTCTGTTTACCAAATTGGCCACTTTCGTGTTTAGAGTGTTTGTTTCTTCAAGAATGAGTGTTGGCTGCAAAGTGTTGTAGTATTGCTGCATCAGCTGTTGATGGTAATAGGACTTGGTAAAGGATGTTATGGACATGTGAAAATTCTTCACTTGTTCTGATCCCTTATAACCAAGGTAACTAAATTGGATTCGGTGGTCCGGCTGGGTTGGTTGATTGCATGTCATCGTACTCTGGTGGCATTGCTTATAATGTCAACCATTGGTTTGTCATGCCCAGACTTGATTATTGACAGGCCACTGTGATACAGCTTGGATATTGCCATCTGCTAAAGAAGAAATCAAAAACAACAAAAACTTGTAGCTCTTATTCCTTACTTTTTTTTACTCTGATTGTCATGGCATTCACAACACATGCACTCTTTGACCCACCATCTCATATTCCTTACATAATTGAGGAATAAATGGTCATATGTCATCCCTAGAAGCGTCAGTCAAGCTGTAGGGTACTACCTATTTTTATAGTCTGTTGTCCAGATAATATATGTTCCTGCACTGTTTGACCCAGTGGCCCCTAAGGTGTGTGCAAGTTTACATTCCAAGTGGCTATTACACATGGTAATGAGGGCTGGATGGACAGTATAGGCACCCATGACATTCTGCTATTGTACCTTGACCTTAATGTTGGTGATTTCAACACATGAAGGAGTAACTCGCCTGACTTCCCCTTAGGAATTTCACTGCAAACAGTCCCCCTTAGACAAACATCTAGTCTCTGAAATGAACATATCTTTCAGAAGAAAAAAAGTTCTTAAATTATCTTATTATCTTAATAAAAAAATATACTAAAAAGGAGCTCGGAGACTCTTCATTTTCAGATATTGCAGTAATCTAGACTTGCCAAACTTTATAGACTTGCATGGGCTGTATTGGATATATTTGTATCAGGGTCTGTGTGCTCATGCTTTCAGTCACTGGGTTGCCTGGTTTTTACTGATCTGATTATTTACATGTTGCTCTGCTATAGCTGACTGCATCCTTAAACAAAACTCATTCACTCAGTATTAACCACTGGTTATCCTGGTGAGACCCAGTGACCTTGGCTGCTACAATATACACCATTCAACCAGTCAGTGTGAGTGATTGCACGTTGACCCTGGTGGTCGTGTCTGCAGCCCTCTAAGGCGGTACCCTACCCATAAATACTGTCTTTCACCACTGCAGTCATTTGTCAAAGCTGTTAAATTGTTTCTAAGTGCATTATTCTTGGCTCATTTAAAGACGTCAAAATACCTATTTCTTTCACACCCTCCCAGCCATTTGTCATCCCCTATCTTGTCAATCTTTATGGTTTAAATGAATGCCATTAGTCATTTAACTTTGGAAAATATTTTCTGCCATTTAGAGCTGACAGTGTATTTCATTTGAATATTTGACCCAGTCGCAAAGATCAGATGGGTGCAAGTTTGTTGACTCTCAGCCGGCTCATTACACCAGACCGAAGAAGATTAACCTTTATTGCTCTGTCCATTTATCAGAAATTTCATTGTTCAGTGAAAGACATGATAATGAAAAAATGCTAAAAGGAAGTTTTCACACCGACAAAATGTGCAGTACAAGAAGTGTTGGAAAATACTCCAATTTGTCCATGTCGTCCTCTAGCCTCTAGCCATTCATCAGAAGTGACGTCTGCTTCATTGGTGCTGCTGTCCATTCTGCTCGGAGCTAACTGCCCTGCACCCAGGCTTCATGAGTGTTAGCAGCGGAGTGCTGATCAAGTGTTAATAGGGAGCATTCCCTGCAGTTTTGTCACATAAATCAGTGAGGGGGCACTTAGATGGGTTGTATATCATTGCAATAATCAGCATCATTTTGACAGCTGGGTGTTGGGAGCATCTGTCTGTCACAGACTGTTTGCACTATCTTGCTAGGTCTGTGTAAACAAGCAAGCTGGAAACACATACTGTTCCCTTCAATACAGAGACAAATGTATAAAAACTTAAACACTGAGATTGACATGTGTTTTTTGCAGACAAAAAATGATATGATTCTGATAGCAAAACACTCTTTTGCGACCAACTATCAAAAACTGAAATACTCAATACATAACAAATACTACATGTGTTGTTTCTGTTGAAAATGAAAATAGTTTTAGAAAATCATTCTACCAGCTGATGAATTTAGTCAAATACAATTTCTTTCTACATCAATGAAATGTGAAGTAACATAATTTTCATTTTCATAAAATTGTAACTTTTAAGTTTCAAAATGGCTTTTGTTTAATGTTGTTTGAGTTGAATTAATGTAAAACTGTCTTGTCAGCAGTATGAACAGTTCTGGACAAACGGTCTTCTTTCAGCTTTTACTAGAAAGGGAAATAGACTCACAAGTGCCTATTAGATTTACTTTATTACCCTTAGTCACTCAGTAAGTGGCCTATCTGATCAATGTCTGTAGTAAGTTGAAACCAAAACAAGTACATTACCTAAAATATGTTCTTTTCACCCTGACCTAGCTGATGGGTGTGCCTCACTGATAGACTTATAATGCTCTCTAGTCAGTAGTGTTACAGTTGGTGCATGGTTACAGAGGAACAACCTGTCTTGACTCGTCTCTGGGACTACCGGTACTAACAAATACCGTATACACTTTAATATGCACCTGGGGCACTTAGAAAATTGACAAAGTTTGGCTCCTATTAAAAACATACACTCCTACTTAAATTTGTTGTTGAAACTCAAACGTTTTTAAAAGCCCCCTAGGATTAGAAGTTGGCAATATTGGTCCCGGGCCTTCTTGTCGAGAAACTGTTACTATTATTGATGTGAAAAGTCAAATTTTCAGTGAGGTTGCCTGTTCTTATAAGAAGTTCCTGTTACAGATGCTGGCAGATTGGCTCTATTTTGAACACTGTTATTCTGAGATGGTTTGAGTGATGGGGGCTCAGTTCATTTGTCTCTCACAATGCGTGTGTTTCAGTTCCGTACATTGGTACAAATTGTAATGCAAGATCCTGTTGCCTACATGGCTCCAGAAGGGGTACGAAGGGTGTCCAGGGTGCACAGGGATGTGGAGGGTAGAACCCACTGAGACTCAGGTGGTTATAAGTGTATGACCTGGCTGACTGCATGTCATTGTGCTCCAAAGGAATGTATAGATGTCATGAAAGAGAATATATTCCAAATACCACTTGTAGCCAGCAGCACAATATAACATTCACATCCTCATTCATAAAAAAACAAACAAATAACTCTTAATTTCGGAGCATTGGTAACCTCAGCTCTATAAGCATTACTGACATGCCAAAAAATTGTGATATGTAGAAAATCATAATTATCTACTCTTCTTTGGCCATTTCCGGCTTTCCTCACATGTTAAGTTGTCATGTCATGATATGACTGGAATACTTTTCAAAGCATTATTAACCCAACTCACAAACTCACTCTTAGGACAAGAAAGTTGCTGTAACCACAAGCAGAAATTGCTGATCTAGTGAAATGTAGTTTCTTATGCAGACCCTGAAACAAATATCCAAAAACTCCCAAGCAAGTATTCAATACAATTGCAAGCCTAGATTTCTGGTAACTGAAAATGAAGAGATTCTTGCAAATACTTTCTATTATAAATTAAAAGATATTTTAACCCAAAAGATCTTTTAAAATATTTTCATTAAAGAGATTTAATGTTAGTCTAGTGAAAATTGTTATGGTTTTGACTGGTTGGAATAATCATATGCTGAAATTATGGATACAGTAAAAGAATAATATTCTTAGAAAATCAATGTCAGCTCCGGCCCTTGTATCTAGACTGGGTTTGGTTTGGTTTGTTGTTTTACTCAGCAGTATTCCAGCTTTATGACGGCGGTCTGTAAATACTCGAGTCTGGACCAGACAATCCAGTGATTAATATCATGAGCATCGATCCACGCAATTGAGATCGATGACATGCTTCAATCAAGTCAGCGAGCCTGACCACTAGATCCCGTTAGTCACCTTTTATGACAAGCATGGGTTGCTGAAGACCTGTTCTACCCCGGAATCTTCACGGGTTATCTAGACTGGGTGTAAAGTATACATGTTTATGCCATCCTTAGTTAATTTAATCCAGAAACTTACTGCCCATCCTTGGCTTTGCCCTTACATACAATGTGTATCCAATGCCAACAAGTTCCTAATTCCATCTGCTTGTTCATGCCAGACTCTGTTGTTGAATATGATACATTGTGGATCAAAGACTCGTTGCAAGAAACGCCATCATACAGTTTGAGTTGTTTTAGAATGATTATAAATTACACCTTTTCAAGTTGTTTTGACTTGTAGGTGATAAATATTTCTGGAACAAGCACAGTAGCAGGTTTTTTAACTTAATTTTGTTGACTTGGTCTATTAAGTACCATATTTGTTTGGTGTTTATGAGACTTAAGAGAGCCAGCGTTCTTCGGCACGTTGGCTGTGAAGTTGTGTGAGGGGCAAGGGAGGAAGCTGCTGGAAGTGAGTTGCTATTTGGACTAGCTGTGTTAAGCAGCTGTCAAACAGGCTGTAGACCCACCTCTATGCTATGCTGCCAATTTATAGCGTTGGAACACAACCATACCTCTCACTGTTGCACATTACAACAGTTGCCAAACCCTGACATGGCAGCAGCATTGCCAGCATATGTCCAGAGCACATCCTTACCTCACTGTGGTCGTTGAACAAACTGTTCGTGCCACGGACTTGTGGTCCATTAGCTAACCATTTACATACCTGTAACTTGTAGGTGTCGAACTCACTGTTAAAAGCTATTACTTGTGGTTGAATTAACTGTTTATATCAACGGCTTGGGGTCGGTGAACGGACTGTTTATTCCCTTGACTTAGGGTCGGTGAACAAACCATTTATACCATGACTTGGGGTCGGTGAACAAACCATTTATAACCATGACTTGGGGTCGGTGAACAACCCATTTTTACCCATGACTTGGGGTCGGTGAACAAACCATTTATAAGCATGACTTGGGGTCTGTGAACAACCCAATTATAACCACGACTTGGTGTCGGTGAACAAACCATTTATACCCATGACTTGGGGACATACTTTACCTGTGTCAGATTGAACAGTCAAGAAACTGACTTTCACAGGAGATATTGCTTTGGTGAGATCAGGCAATATCTGCTGGGATATATTACTACATTGAAGTTGCTGCACTATGCTTTGCAGACCATGACATCACAATCAAATGACATCACTATTGTCATTACCACTTAATAGGATTAGCTGTACTTACATTCAAGCAGTGTCTGAAATAACTGCCCGCCTGCCCATGGCTGGTAACTTTTCTGTTGGGCCGCATGAAATTTTACTCCACCTGCCCGGCTGTCTGTCAGATAATTTTAAGACTACTTTTGTATTCAGTTTGACTGTAACGCCTCATGTGTTCTCAAGTAATTGTGAACTTTGCATTAATTCAACTAAATTACGATGCAATTTGTCTCTTCCTCTTGGTAATTTTTCAATATTAATAATGTTTGAATGTGAGCAGGTAACTGTGAAGATGGGCAGCAGCATTTATGGGTCACCTGCCTGACTGTCTTGAGGGGGGTTTAAAATTATTTCAAACACTGGGCTCAAGATGCTTGTTATTACTGTTTACAAACGTAAACTTTGGCGGAATAATTTCGGATGATAAATAGAATCTCATCCTCGTGTCTTCCAAGCTCAAATGTATAAAGACTCTTTGATAAATGTAATAATATCCAAGACTGGCTGAGGGTATTTGTAACTTTTATCAACTCATCTTGATATATTTGATCTTGGAAGACATGAGGATGAGATTCTCTTTGTAACTGTCAATTCGGAAATAATAGAATTATTTTTCTTCAAATAGCTATTAAGTGATGGGCAGATCTACAAAACTTGGAATTAAGTGTGCTTGTTATATCTCAGGCAGATGTGAAATCATGGACATCCTGTATGGCCAAATGTGACATGGGTATGACATCATAACATTCCCACCGGAAGTATGATCGGCCGTCACATGCACACAGCCTACAAACATGTTGTACAACGTACACAAACTCTCACAGAATGTATTACACCTGCATTTGACAGGATAACGAGATCTGCATGTAGAGAATTGCATGTATGCGTTGAGGGAATAGAACTAGTTTGAATTTCCAGCCTGATGTGTTTGAATGCAGGTGTTCACTGACAGATTTCAATGTTTTTGAAACTGGATTCTAGTTATGTTTGGAGTTGTTTATTAAACAAGGACTAAGGGAGATCATTAACCACAGCTATTTAGCATTAGTTGAGTTCATACACTTTGCTGTAGCATAAAACACAAAAAAGCATTTATTTCAAGATGTTGTGTTGGGATTGCTGCAGTCAATTTTTGAGTCGACTAGCCTGAATACATCCCACATACTTTTTCAGAAGCTTTGAATCTGAGCATTGATAAATTTTAATAAGCTAAGCTAACAACATTGAACCATTTTACAAGGTTCAGGCTTCAGTACCTGTAATTGTGTTCATATTTGCTCATTGGTTTCTATTATTTCACAGACCAGCTTATGGATCTCGTGGGAGATGAAGGATGAGCTGATAACACCACTGCAGTCTCTGGTGGGCAACTTCTGGGACGGTGTAGAAGCATGTGGGGGCGTGCAGAACCAACACTGTGTGCCCCTCCTTCAGAGTCTGGTGCACCTACTCAAGTCTCAGTCAAGGTGGGTGCTACTGATGGTCGACTGGAGACTGGGTAGGGTGGATGTAGATGGGTCCTGATGGTGATGGTGTTGACTGGGTAGGGTGGATGTAGATGGGTCCTGATGGTCAACTGTAGCCTGGGTGGGGTGGATGTAGATGGGTCCTGATAGTGATGGTGTAGACTGCGTAGGGTGGATGTAGATGGGTCCTGATGGTGATGGTGTAGACTAGGTAGGGTGGATGTAGATGGGTCCTGATGGTGATGGTGTAGCCAGGGTAGGGTGGATGTAGATGGGTCCTGATGGTGATGGTGTAGACTGGGTGGGGTGGATGTAGATGGGTCCTGATGGTGATGGTGTAGCCTGGGTAGAGTGGATGTAGATGGGTCTTGATGGTGATGGTGTAGCCTGGGTAGGGTGAGTGTAGATGGGTCCCGATGGTCGACTGTAGCCTGGGTAGGGTGGATGTAGATGGGTCCTGATGGTGATGGTGTAGCCTGGGTAGGGTGAGTGTAGATGGGTCCTGATGGTGATGGTGTAGCCAGGGTAGGGTGGATGTAGATGGGTCCTGATGGTCGACTGTAGCCTGGGTAGGGTGGATGTAGATTGGTCTTGATGGTGGTGGTGTAGCCTGGGTAGGGTGAGTGTAGATGGGTCCCGATGGTCGACTGTGGCCTGGGTAGGGTGGATGTAGATGGGTCCTGATGGTGATGGTGTAGCCTGGGTAGGGTGAGTGTAGATGGGTCCTGATGGTGGTGGTGTAGACTGGGTAGGGTGGATGTAGATGGGTCCTGATGGTGGTGGTGTAGACTGGGTAGGGTGGATGTAGATGGGTCCTGATGGTGGTGGTGTAGACTGGGTAGGGTGGATGTAGATGGGTCTTGATGGTGATGGTGTAGCCTGGGTAGGGTGAGTGTAGATGGGTCCTGATGGTGATGGTGTAGCCTGGGTAGGGTGGATGTAGATTGGTCTTGATGGTGGTGGTGTAGCCTGGGTAGGGTGAGTGTAGATGGGTCCTGATGGTCGACTGTAGCCTGGGTAGGGTGGATGTAGATGGGTCCTGATGGTGATGGTGTAGCCAGGGTAGGGTGAGTGTAGATGGGTCCCGATGGTCGACTGTGGCCTGGGTAGGGTTGATGTAGATGGGTCCCGATGGTCGACTGTAACCAGGGTAGGGTGGATGTAGATGGGTCTTGATGGTGGTGATGGTGTAGCCTGGGTAGGGTGAGTGTAGATGGGTCCCGATGGTCGACTGTAGCCTGGGTAGGGTGGATGTAGATGGGTCCTGATGGTGATGGTGTAGCCTGGGTAGGGTGAGTGTAGATGGGTCCTGATGGTGGTGGTGTAGCCTGGGTAGGGTGAGTGTAGATGGGTCCCGATGGTCGACTGTAGCCTGGGTAGGGTGGATGTAGATGGGTCCTGATGGTGATGGTGTAGCCAGGGTAGGGTGAGTGTAGATGGGTCCCGATGGTCGACTGTGGCCTGGGTAGGGTTGATGTAGATGGGTCCCGATGGTCGACTGTAACCAGGGTAGGGTGGATGTAGATGGGTCTTGATGGTGGTGGTGGTGTACCCTGGGTAGGGTGAGTGTAGATGGGTCTCGATGGTCGACTGTAACCAGGGTAGGGTGGATGTAGATGGGTCTTGATGGTGATGGTGTAGCCTGGGTAGGGTGAGTGTAGATGGGTCCCGATTGTGATGGTGTAGCCTGGGTAGGGTGGATGTAGATGGGTCCTCATAGTGATGGTGTAGCCAGGGTAGGGTGGATGTAGATGGGTCCTGATGGTGATGGTGTAGCCTGGGTAGGGTGGATGTAGATGGGTCCTCATAGTGATGGTGTAGCCAGGGTAGGGTGGATGTAGATGGGTCCTGATGGTGATGGTGTAGCCTGGGTAGGGTGGATGTAGATGGGTCCTCATAGTGATGGTGTAGCCAGGGTAGGGTGGATGTAGATGGGTCCTGATGGTGATGGTGTAGCCTGGGTAGGGTGGATGTAGATGGGTCCTCATAGTGATGGTGTAGCCAGGGTAGGGTGGATGTAGATGGGTCCTGATGGTGATGGTGTAGCCTGGGTAGGGTGAGTGTAGATGGGTCCCGATGGTCGACTGTAGCCTGGGTAGGGTGGATGTAGATTGGTCTTGATGGTGGTGGTGTAGCCTGGGTAGGGTGAGTGTAGATGGGTCCCGATGGTCGACTGTAGCCAGGGTAGGGTGGATGTAGATTGGTCTTGATGGTGGTGGTGTAGCCTGGGTAGGGTGAGTGTAGATGGGTCCCGATGGTCGACTGTAGCCTGGGTAGGGTGGATGTAGATTGGTCTTGATGGTGATGGTGTAGCCTGGGTAGGGTGAGTGTAGATGGGTCCTGATGGTGATGGTGTAGCCTGGGTAGGGTGGATGTAGATTGGTCTTGATGGTGGTGGTGTAGCCTGGGTAGGGTGAGTGTAGATGGGTCCCGATGGTCGACTGTAGCCTGGGTAGGGTGGATGTAGATTGGTCTTGATGGTGGTGGTGTAGCCTGGGTAGGGTGAGTGTAGATGGGTCCCGATGGTCGACTGTAGCCTGGGTAGGGTGGATGTAGATGGGTCCTGATGGTCGGCATGTAGACATGGTAGGTAGGCTGTAGATGTTTCTTGATGGTCAGTGTCATACGATCTCAACTCGCACTGATAGAGATGGCTGTGTAGTGACACTAAGCCTTTAAGGGCCAGAACACTGAGTCCAGTATATCCATTGAGCTCCTGAACTCACTTTCAAAAGAATAATCCAATATGTTCAAAGTAAAACATACTGAAATTAACTCTGAACGTTTAAGATAGAGCACCTGTATTTCAGTACAATAAAGCTACGCTCTTCATTACTTTAACTTAACTGTACAGATGTATAGTCAGCTTGTTTAAGGACAGTTTCATGACCGTCAAGGGGTGTTGCGATTCGCCGACTGTGCAACGCGATGCTCTGTGCCACGATATGAGAATCATATCAGTGGGTGTTGTATCCATACTAAACAATACTGGCAACAGTGATGTGTAAAATGGTATGTACTAGGGCTGGCTATCGATATAGATCAAAGAGATCAATAATCACTAACTAAATAAAATCAAATATATTATCGATAAATATTGGAGAAGTAACTTAAGCAAATATGCTAGAAAGTCCTGGAAAAAACATATTTCACACCACTGGTGAGCAGTGACACATTTATGCATGGATTCTTTATGGACATTTGAGACATAACAAAAGCAGTTGCTTCCTGCCTTCTACAATTGACATGACAAGTCTGTTTCGGTAAATGTAAACTATATTTTCTTACAATGGTTTCTGTAATTTATTATCAATGACAACAATTTCATATCGATGATCATTAATATTTCTTCCCATCGATAATAATTCTGATTATTGATCTTCTTAGCCAGTCCTTGTGTGAACTCAAAATTGTGAAATACTATTTTAGCTTGTATGTACAAGATGTGTCAAGCCAGTGTATTATCAGTTGACCGAAATCTAAAAGATATGTGTAGTTGGGCTTTTATTAGTTTCTGTCAAAGATGGAATGTTTCTGTAACATGCAAAGTGCCAAGTTTTCGTGTATCCTATCATGTGTTGTGTAGCAACTGTATAGACAAGAAGTGTATCGTATCGCAACAAAGTGTATCATTACAGCCCTATCCCCGACAACCATCTTACCCTAATTCCTCCACCACAGTTACCACTCCCTCTACAGACATCAAGTGCAAAATCAGTCCTTGGATTCCTCAATGTCTAAAATGGGGATTAGATGGCCATGTCAGGTAGAATTTATCATTAATACTGACATGGCTAAACACCAGGGCTTTGTTCCACTAGACTAAGTGAGCAGATAAGTCTTTGTGTTGGGGTTATTAAGCTATGTGCCAAGATTGCTTGGTGGACTGGGGCTCAGGAAAGACTTCAGCTGTGACCTTGCGTGTTGCTGTGATCAGGTGTTCAGATGTGCTGACACTATCAACCACAGGTTCACCTGGTTCAATACGCTGGAGGATGATATTTAGATGCCACTCACTCACTCACTCACTCACTCACTCACTCACTCACTCACTCACTCACTTAAGAGGCAACTTACAGGATCAGGAGGTCAGGTTTGCTGACTTGGTTGAGGCATATCATCGTATCTCAATTGCATAGATCAATAGTCATGATGTCAATCAGTGGATTGTCTGGACCAGACTCGATTATCTCAGACTGGCGTCCGATAACTTGAGTGTATCATTCTCACTCACTCGACCGGGAAAGAATAGGTCTTCCGCAACCCATGCTTGCCGTAAAAGGCGACTGCTTGTCGTAAGAGGTGGCTTACGTGATCAGGTGGTCAGACTTGCTGACTTGGTTGATGCAAGTCATCAATCCTAATTGTGTGGATCGATGCTTATGATGTCAATCACTGGATTGTCTGGTCCGGACTCTATTATTTACAGACCGCCGTCATATAGCTGGAATATGGCTGAACGTGGCTTTACTCACTCACTCACTCACTCACTCACTCACTCACTCACTCACTCACTCACACTGAAAGGGTTGTTGTCATTGGGATGTTACAATCCACTGATGTATGATGACGGACGTCCTGACAATATAAAACATGATTCACCTACCAATGTAAGAGTTCACGTAAGCTTATGCCATGGTACTGTACAAGTCTCTTACCTGTTTATTTTCAACGTCTCTGAAACTACAAACATTGGCATGAATTGTCCGAGAAAAGATGTAATGAGATATTGGTTTGAGGATTCTGTTATATAAATGGCCACAAAAGCCAAAATGATGCAGACTTCATCAAAAGCAAGATAGACTGTATAGATGCTAACTATGAAGCAATTTTGTGTAATATATTTGCATACATTTTAAGTGATGGCTATTTCATATTATTTTGACATATCATGTATACAAATATGAGAACTAGGTGAGCTACAGAGCATTGTGGTTATGCTTTTATTGGCATATCCATAGAGGTAGTTTATGATTAGTTGTATTAAGTTTGATTCTGTTTCATTTTCTTAATTGACAGAGATAAGCCAAGGTGAGATTTTGTTTCAATATGGTTGGTACTGCAAGTCACTTTATCAGATCTTAATGAAAATCAAGTTGCAAGTGTTTCTGACTTACTAATAAGTGTATCTTTAAATATCTTGTATTATTTATCCCTGTATATGTATGGTTGGTATACCCTGGATGCTGTCACTGCCATAGCTTCAGTTTCAAAGGCACAACACTAAAAATAGCTGTGAAATTAGATTGAACTGTTCGTTCCTGATTTTAATCGTGGCAATACCACTTGAACTTGTCTCCCATTGCAGCATTATGTCTCAAAGACAACTGGGAATATCTGGCAGCATAATTAAATCCCCCTCACCGTCTTAATACTCAGGGAAACATCTTTTCCACTATAAAATTAATTTATTGGATTTCTTTTCTTATTTTATGTTTTGTGGAATCGCTCGTAAAAGGCAGAAAGTTTGAAGTACTGTATGCCAACGCTATGTTGTAAAGAGACAGTTGGAGTGGTTTTTGATTTCAAGCTCATGAGAGAGAAATTCTGTACTAAGATAGTGATAAGAGAGATGTCATTTCTGTAACGAAGCTATGATAAATGGGTCCAGGGTTTTTATCATCATTAATAGGATGGGGATATGATATACAGGGTAATGAAGAATGTCATTTGGAATTAATGGTATTAAATATTTAACCCAAATGAATAAAAAATGAAATTTGAAAAAAAAATTAGAAGTCATTTTTGGAAAAGTATTTATTATGATCCATATATGCAGGAAACAAGGAATTGAGCAGTTTCATTTGAAGTGTATGAGTGAGCATGAAAGTAGGACATTTGTGATTTGTTGATGATGGGATTGTTAAAGGACTTGCAGTAGGGCTGTATCCATGTTTACTCTAACTGTTTTGTTGGGACATCTGCACTTGTGTTTATTGTCATGATGGTGGACTAGTGAACCAACATTCAGGTTATATAATCCTTGGCAACATGTCTGGGAGCAGGCTCTGTAGATGCTTTCCACAAATTTCTAGCTTTCATTTTTTATGTTGTTTACTTTTCAGTATGTGTTGCAAGTTTCTGCACATTGTTTATGATGGCACAGTGTTCTCTGTTGAAGTTAAATGTGCACAATGTTTGTTTTGTTTGCACTCTGAGGGAACATAAAACTATACACAAATCGAAATGGACTTTCGTCTTGACAGTCTCACAGCCATCATTTAGATGATCTATGTTTTCAATGCAAAAATCATTAGATCGGGTTGATTATGAAAATGGCATTTCTCATTATTCTGTCAGAGTTATTCAGGAGGTGGTAAGATTACCTCATTCAGATGTAAAGATGAAAAATGAAACATCTATTTTAGCATTCTCCTGTACTGGTGTACTGTTCTGGGGCAGAGTAGGTGCTCAGTGTTCCATGCCTGGTGTAAGAGTTGACTAATGTGGTTTCGGTGATCGCAGTTTGTCACCTGCTAAATTGTATGTTCTGCTTACCATATTGGCATATATCATTGCTCATGTCACCTTTTCTGATGTTGTGGATAGAGCATCGGGCTAGAGATCGGAAGATTGCTTGTTCGATAGCTAGAATTGTCATGCCAAACGATGTTAAGAGATGGTGCTTGTTTTTACCCTCGCACTTGTCATTAAGGAGATAGCTGTTATACTGTGTGTGAGTATAACAAGATAATTTAATATAGCAGTAATATTAGTATAAAATAACATAGATAACTCCCTCATCACATCTATATCTGAGAAAATCCAAGTTCCTATGTGTAGAGAGTGTATTTTTATGGGTAAAATATTGGATGGGTAACATTATTTGATTGCATACTGTTTCTTGTCATTTCTTGTGCTATGCCCAAATGGGGTGGCCTATTGGTGAAAGTGTTTGCTTGTGCACACTCATGACATGGTTTGATTCCTTACATGAATGGCAGCATGTCATGCTGTGAACATGGCTTTGCAGATCAGGTGAAGTTAAGGAACCGTGGTCTATGAAGTGACCATGTTTGGCATGATTGTCATAAGAACTAGGGGTGAGCTGATACAGCAAGGTCACGATACATAGGTCACGATAGGACATGTATCACAATGCGTATTTACATACTTCTTGACTATAAATATTTCACAGCAGATTCAGAAGGAACATCTAGCTTTAGCAGTGCCGTAGCCAGCCTGGGGGCAGGGAGGGCAGTTGCCCCCCTGGATTTTTTTTTATAGAAAACAGTTTTATTTGAATCATGAAAATACAAGTTGGAGACAAGTGATACTTGTACAAATATTTGACCCCCCTGTCAAAAAAAGTTAACTATGGCCTTGTTTAGACACATGTTCGAGGGAGCTGTTTTTAATAATGAACTTGTAACGCTAATTACAACACATTTTGAGATATTTGACAAACATGCTGGGGTCATTTAACGAGAAGTAAGTCATTTATTTTATCAAGTGTATCGTCTTGTATTGGTACAGTAAAAAACATATCGTGTAGCATATCCTTGCATGAAAACTCACAGTGCACGGTGCACTGATGTATTGTTTCACCCTCAGTAAGGATGGACTAAGAAGGATTGGGTGGTTACAAGATGGTTGATTTGTCATCATGATCATATAGCATTGATCACATCTTTCACTATCAACCATTGGGGTGCCTGGCCAAGGCCCAGTTATTTAAAGACAATTATGATACAGCTGGAATTTTACTGAATGTGACATTAAACAACATTCACTTGGCCACAATGTGGTAATTGTATATATCTTGTGTATGTGGACCTAGCCACCACAATGCAATAGGACTTGACAACAAATTCACTTCCAGTATCTGTTCTTCTTAGTCACTGTCAAAATATTTTTTCCCCTTCATCCCCCTCCTGCCAATGGAATATTTTCTAATTGTAGACATTTGCAGTTTGTAGAAAATGTATGTCAGTTTTACTTTTACACAAACAAGCTGACATCAGTGATTTGATAACCTTGGTGAACTTGAAGAAGTATTCTAGTTGAACTATGCCGTAAATGAAGATGAATTGATCTGCCAACGGCCCTGGTGATAAAGCTGTAATATGGCCATTTGTGACATGAAACTACACTCACTCACTCACTCACTCTTATCTTCCAAGAGAATTAAATAGAAATAGAAAAATTTAAAAAAGATCAAATATTCTTTTCTCAAACATCAAAACTGCCAAATTGGTAGAAACTGGAATTTGTTGATGTGAAACTAGATTTTATTCTTTTTTGTATTTCTGGGAAGCAATTGGAGGCAGAGATAAACATATAACTTGAAACATGCAGTCTGTGGCCAAAACTTTTTTGGAACCTACAAATCTGAAATTGTCTCATGGAATCATTATGAGTAGATTGTAACTTAATATATGGTCTGAGGTGCTGGGGTAGCCTGGTGGTTGAAGTGTTCAGTCGTAAACATGAGGCCCTGGTTCAATTCCCAAAATGGGCATAGTTTCTGGAGTGCTCCGCCGTGATATTTACGGAATATTGCTAAAAGCTGCATAAGACCTCCTTCTCATATATGAACTGTTATAAGCTGAGCGACTAGACAAACCATTGGCTGAAGTGTCTGACTGAATGTGTTTGTAATAATTTCCTGTTTCAGCATTAAATTAACATGTCAACTGTGGATTTGGAGGTGGTGATGGGTAATGGTGATTAACATCTGTACAGAAATTATTCTGTAATAACCGATCATAATACTCATCGTTGGATGATATGTGAATATACCAGGGACAGCATTATTGATAAGAAAAGCTTTTGTAGGTCACACAGAACATATTCCTCCCTGCCAATACCCATGTAATTGAATTTACTGGGTGGATGAAATCATGCTGCTTATTTTCAGGGGGTAGGGTTTATTGCAGCATAAAAACAATCTTTTGTCCAGAAAGCATGTAATTGTTAGGAGCCTTGTTTGCATGAGCTGATGTCAATACATGCACCCAGTTCCCTGGTCAGATCTTGATAGCTGGGGGGTATTGTTGCTCCAACAAAAAACAGTCATTACCTCATTATTAGGACATACTTGCTTGCATTGTACCCGAGGGGCGTGGAAGGACACTCTTGAGGTCATGAGGCAGTCTGGGTGCACACAGTCTGCTATGTTAATAGTACAAGAAACGACCATGAACGCGATGCGAACAACATGGCGGTTCTCTTGTTGAAGACTTGGAATGTAAAATCGTCAATTTGGAGCTTATGATTTCCCAGCAAATTCTTTTCTTTGTGCCATGTGATGTTATTGTGCTAGTAAAGACCTGAATGCTTGAATACCTGGGTTATATTTTATATTCAGAGGAAGTCTGTGTTAATGCTTTGATACAATGAAAACACAAATTGAAGTATTGGGTAAACTTTGTGGAATTTGTGCCTGGTGTTAAAAGCAATAAATTGCTTTTTGAGTTAAGGCGTCATTTGGTGGATTTTTTTATGGCTGTCGTAACTCTCCATGGTATCCATTCTGTGAAATTGAAATTTGCACGGCTGCCAGGGGAGATAATTCGGTCTTTTACAGCCAGAGCATGGCCTTGCACTCCACACCCAGTGCATTCAATCCTACTGTAATACAAGAAATTCACATTAGAGGGAATTGAATCAAGGAACTATTTGTTATGCTTAAAGCAATCTCAGTACCAGAGTACAGCCGTTTCTGAAGGTATGTGGAATGTTTGCACATGGAGTGAGGGTGTTGCACCTGGTTGTGTAATGTTTTGATTTGAAATATAACAAGGTCATTTTAATCTGAATCTGAAAACTACTAATTTCTTCACAATGAGCACTTTTCAAGTGTGTAAACTTTGATTTTTAACTCTGAAATTTTGACCTTTAAAACATCTGATATATTTAGTACAGTTCTCTAGTCCTGTGTTATTAGTTCTTCTGTAATAAAGGATTTAACCTGATATCCTTAAAGCTCTCAACGCTACTGTCGAACCAGTTCGACAGAGTTTGTCACTAGCAGTGTTTCGAATAGCATAAGGACACCCTTTAACAAAACTTGCCATATCTATTTACCAAGAAGTGTGAAAATAATTCAGCAGGCTAAAGGTTAAGGAGACATAGGTGGTCCAGTCGTTTGTAGAGTCACAATTCACTTTGCAGAGTTACATCCCTTAGGCATACCAGAATCCTTTGATCATTGGAACTGAATCCCAGATTCGTCATGACTACGTATCAGCATCATACCCATACTCATGGGTTTCACCAAATTGGTAAACGTGGAAGACTTCGGGTCTTTCTCAAACATCAAGCTGACAAGCTGTGATATATATGAAAAACTTTTCAAAGCAGCGTTAAACCCAACTCACTCACTCACTGACACTCATATCCTAAATTTGTGTTAAGTATCAAGGTCAGATTGTTTTCCATTTTCAATGAACTGGTCACCATATTGATGTTGATTTGAAAACTGAAACATCATCTGGAGAATGATATTCCAACATGGTAAGTGAATTACCTGTCAGAATGATCTGCCAGGCTCATCTGCCCAGCATCTTCGCTTCAATACACTACACTAAATCTGGAATGTAGCAAGAATTTTCTTGACCAGAAGAACACAAAGATTAGTGAATATGGTTTATGTTAACAGGTGCCTTTTATGTCAATTCCTCTGCAATGAGTGACCAAATGTCCGTGTTTCATCTCTGTCTTGGCCATGCTGTGGTCTGTGAAGACATCTAACAAGGATGAACATGGCTGTTGTTTAGCTCCAGCTGCAGCAAGCCACATGTCTGTGCACTGGGACATTCTCAGCTTGGCCTTCTGGGTAGAAGGATTCCGTTTTGTAGCATTATTTGACACCAACTTTTCAGCAAGTGATCAAGGCTGCATGTTAAACACCTAGTTGTCCACAAATTCATGGCTAGTTTTATTTCAAGAAGACTTGATACTGTAAATCTTGAAATTAACACGGGCATGAATTAAATGTGAAAAATGCGAGTGGTCTTTGCTCACATAATTAACTTTGCATTTACGTCTCCAAAATGACTATCAACAATAGACTGTCTCACTTTGCATTTACTTCTCCAAAATGACTATCAACAATAGACTGTCTCACTGCACACTTTGGATAGCGGAAACCAACTTGAATATAAACACTAACACGGTTTATTGAGCAACAGTTGTAACAAGTATATAACAATGTCATGCAAAGAATAGGAATTAAAGAATGGGTATCACTGCATTTGTGAAAATATTTCAATGAAACTAGCAAGTACAATTATTCTCAATTACCACTTGGGGCAAGGGCTCATTTTTCAAAAGAACTGTGGCCCTGAGTTTGGGCCCTGTAGTGATGACAGGATTTGCTTATTGTGGATTTGAGACCTGGAGATTATGTTCATTGTTTTTTCAAAGTAGTCACATATCGATAACAACTTATTTAATTACTGTAAAGGCAACGTTTCAGTATAGATGGTTTTACTGTTGTAAAGCAAGACTGCTTGACGACGGTATAAGGATCTATACTGACATGTGGCCTTTACAGTAATTAAAGATTTGTTATCCATAAATTGTCTACTTTGTCATCTGTCAACGTCTAAGTAATTCTTATCAAACAATTCAAAGTAGTAAATACCTAAAACCTGCATTAAACAGAAGGATGCCAAAACCTTAAAAAACATTCACACGAACGCACCACTTGTTGAGGGTTGGTGGTCTCGACAGCAGCATGCAGCGCACGGGCGGCATGTGCAATTGTGTGCAGCGGGGAACTCTGTCCCTGGGCTTGTCACTTTATAGTCATGCTTTGGTAGAGAGCAGCCATCTTGACGGTGGCCTCTGACAGTGTCAGATTAGGGCACAATTGTATTTTTTGTAAAGTCAAATGGAGACTTTAAGAAAACCAAATAAGGGTTTAACATAGTCAAAAAAGGACTAAAATATAGTCAAATAAGAACTAAAACATCGTCAAATAAGGACTAAAACATTAAATAAGGACAAATCGTGGTAAGTTGTGAATTTAGAAATTGTTTCTGAAATCGTGGGTTAATTTAAATATAGTGTAAATTTGAGTTTCAATTATTAAACAGACATTAACTTAAAGTTTTGTTGAGTTATTTTTAAGACTTCCACTGCGTATCATGCATCACTTCTGGCTTTTCTGTCGTATAAACTGTGATATGTTGAAATACTGAAACTCTTACATTTTGTAATTGCATGTGATGTGGAGGAAATAGTTCCTTTTATTCCTTCAATGAACTGTAGACAGGCAAATCCCTGCCTCTATCTCACACTGTATTGAATGTTTTTATGACTCCTTTCAAGATGGGGTACAATTTGAGAGCCAGGTCTTGGTTCCCCACCATAATGTATCCATGCAGGGTAGCCTAGTGGTTAAAGCATTCGCTCGTCACGTTGAAGACCTGGGTTCAATTCCCGATATGGGTACAGTGTGTAAAGCCCATTTCTGGTGTCCCCCGCCGTGATATTGCTGGAAAATTGCTAAAAGCGGTGTAAAACCATACTCACTCACTCACTTATGTCTGATTCTGATATATCTATAATTGTTGTTTTACCATATCCAATTAAATTTGATCATTGCAACCCTTTCTTTGCACTAGAACAGCTATCTCTGTGGATTCCTTCAACAGATATTAATCAGAAATTCATGACAAGAACGTTTTGACTGGTTTGCAGCATGTTCAAGGGTGTTTTATTGTGATTCTAGATGGGAGGATGCCTGCTCTACATGTCGTAAAATCCTGGAGTTGAACCCGGACCTGGTTGACATCTGGCTGTTGGCTGGCGACCTGTACGCTGCGTGCAAGGAGCTGGAAGGAACTAGACATGTAAGTTGTGGTACACAATGTCCACCAGTGTCTTTCCTAGACACCAAGATGCTACTGTTCCCACCTTTAATGAATGGGAGAAGGGCAAGACTTGACCAGTCCACTATTGGCTGTGCAGTGCTGTGTCCATTAGGTATGCTAGAATCTATGATTATGGGTGTAAGTCGCAGACTTGCCCTGGTTATGATTATTGGTTTATCATCAGTGGGTTGCACTGTGTTACATGTCTGAGGCATGTCACTTTAGGCTTCCTCCCACAAGATCCTACATCACATTGGGATCCGGGTTAGAATTGATCCCCAGCAACCTATGGAGGTAGATCTTGATGGATCAGGTGGTCAGACTTGGTGACATGTTTAATACTGTGTCATCCTACCCTGAATCATGTCACAGGGTGCTGTCATATGTCTATAACATTGCTGAGTGTGGCGTTACACAACAAACACAGACACATCTTACATGCCGTGATTGCTGAATTGTTCAAAGTGGCACCAAACCCAGCAGACTCCTTCAGTTTTATGAACAAACGGACTTGAGGTTCAAACAGCATGCTGAGATGAAAACATGTACTTCTCTGATACCACACAGATAAACTCTTCATTGATTTCTTGCTGTGTGATTTAAAAGAATTTTTTTATTTTAAATCCCAAGTACATCAGTAGCCATGTCTGAGAGATCATAGAGGTTACCTTTCTCATGCATTGCATATTGAAGAAAGGTTGGTTTTTTTCAAGTTTCATTAGTAATGGAAACAGTATGTGTGGCAAGACCTGCAAAAATATCATTATTTGCTGATAAGGTTTACATGTGTATTCCCTCTGAAGTTCTCAAGACTTCCTGAAATATTGAATGTTATTTTTCAAATATCTATTTGTAGAATTCTTGTTTTGTAGAAAGTTTATTGTTACTGCAATAAGAAAAATGTCAAAAATGAAACAAGAAGGAAATTTATGTTGTTGAACATACTTTCACTGTATGTTTGTAGGGGGCACAGGTGGCCCAGTCGTCTAAGGCGCCGCGATTCGCTGTGCACAGTTGCGTCCCTTGGGCATGCCAGAAACCTATGATTGTGGGTTTGAATCCCGGTTCGCCCCGATTATGTTTCTAGGTTTGTCAGCATCATACCTGTGCTCGTGGTTTTCACTGAAGTGGTAAACGTCTGAGACCTGCATCACTTCGGGCTTTTGGCACCATTGACCCACTCTGACAATGTTTGTTGACATGGAAACCATGCAGGGGATGATGACTACTTGTGATAAGAAACATGTGCAAGTCTGGTCACATGACCAGATGGTGCTGGTTTCTGCAGTCAACACAGGCAGGAAGTAGACTAAATCATATGTCACCAAACGTTGACATTGGCTTTAAGTTGACACCAGAAACGTCCATCTGAGAAACGTCTGGGCTAGATTTGTGACAAGTGTTTTGCACACATGTGAACATGGTCGGGATCATACTTCTCATATTTGTCAGATTTGTTTGTTTACTGTTGTGTTTTTTTGTGCGGAGAATGTTGGCACAAATGTTTCGGTTTTAGGCCGTGAGTCGACAGCTGCTTGTATGTTGTACATGACAGTCTGGGCTGCGCTCTCCCTGTCAACGTCCTCCGTGTCTAACTCACAAACATTGTAAGAGGAGAGATGTTGACATATGCACAGCTTGAGTGTGAATTTGAATGTTAGATCTACCAGCATACATTATTCAGTTTTCCAAATTATGTGGAGATCTTGGTCATCTATTAAGTGCAGTATAAAATCTCTGGTCCTGTATTTCTGAAACCTGATCCATTCTTTTCTGATATTCAAATCAAATCCATCTGAAGATCTGATAACTTTGACATATGACCCTTAATAAGGATGTCACCTTGTGGTGGAAGGTAAAAGGGATGCTTGCTTGCAACCACCCGGTCTACTATTCTTGACATCATTATGTTGGTTGTTCAGGGTTAGCACGAGGGCACTGGTGCACCATGCGCCCAAATTGGTGCAATTTGCTGCAGTGTGATATGTTGGTGTGCCAAGATCCTATGACTGAGGGTTCAAATGCCAGATTTACCCTGATATGATCCTTGGTTTGTCAGGACCATACATTTGCTTATGGCTTTTATGGCTTTTATGGCTTTTGAACTGACATGGTGTGATGTGACTAAAATACTGTTCAATGTGGCATAAAATATTATAGTAATTGAATGGAGAAAAAGAAATTAAATGGGTACTGACTCTGTTACTATCTGTATGCTTGGTCCAGATCCCTGATAACATTTGCAGAAACGATGTGAGCTGGTATGTGACTCACCTCACCTCACCTCACCTCACCTCACCTCACCTCACCTCACCTCACCTCAGTCAACAAGTGCTGCAGAGTTTTGGTCAATATTCAACTTGTAAGAAGGGACTGTGACTTAATCACTGGATTTTCTTGTCGATTATTTACAGGCTGATGTCATATAGCTGGAATATTGCTAAGTGTGGCATTAAACAATAAACAGACAAACAAAAATTACTTGGTATTACTGGAGAAGTAAGGACAGACATGACTATGTGAATGTTGGTTCTTGCTGCAGTCAGCAACAAACCAACTGTGTCACTCTGGCCTGTTAGTATTCAGGACCAGACAAACCAGTAGTTCAAGCATTAGCAGTGGCGACACTTAGTTAATCTGGTCACACATTCTCTCCATTTCAGTTGTGTTTTATGACAAGCATGAGGTGTTGTTTCAGATGCATCTTGGTTTATACTGGTCTAAAAAATCTGTCAAACAAGACATCCTATTTTTCTTTCCTGACAATTACAGAAATACATGCAATAAAGCATATAAAAATGGACGTCACATAACATAAGCACAGGAAAAAACTATGTAAAGCGTTTTTGTCAAGTTGGCATCTTGATTTATTCCGGCATAAAATGTTTGATGTTTACAGATATTCAACGAAGCAACATCGGCGCACCCCTTCAGTGCCAAGCTCCACTTCTACATGGCCAACTTTGAGCTGTCTCAGGTTGGTTGACACTCAACATGCTCTGCTTTATATCGCTCCTATGTCACTGTCACCTTAACCCTCTCCCACTCATCACTAGGGATCAACCTTTTGATATTCTGGCGGGGGAGATGGAGTCTCGGATAATACAGAAAAAATATTATTTTGTCTTGAATTTTACAACAGCAACATATTGTTCACTTGACATGACAGATTTGTCCTGAAAAGATATTGTTGTGAAAATGATTTAAAAATAAAATTGTTCAGCTTCTTTAAAGGAAAGCAGTAATGTCTAGAAGCTTTGACTGAAAACAAATCTGGTCTTTGGAAGCCCCCAATCTTAAATGACCTGTCCCTTAAGGGGTTAACTTGGCTGTGCATGTCATGTTGTTGAGCTCATATTACATAGTGCCTCCTTGGTCGTAGTCTCGTGTACATCTATGCCAATGAGAAGGGGTAATCAGTTAAGGGGTTAATGGCACTATCAAATTGATAGTGTTGGAGTCTTCACCTTGGAGTGTCAATGTTAGGGATGAAGTGTTGTGTAATCTGGAATTCGATACAAAGTGTAGGGTATTTGTTTTGATGTGGCCTAATCTCTTGATGTCTGTACTTTGTAATCGGACATTCATCCACCTCAGAAAACATTGGCAGTAATGATGGGTATATTGAGGTGTTATTTCACCATTAATCCCTGTAGCCTTAAAAGTGTGTAACATTGGTGATATTATACTCTGGTAGGGTACACGTTCAGTCAGCTGGGAGGAGGTAGTCATGACTGGGAATACATTATGCTGAGACGGTGTGACGCCGTCGGTGACGACTGTGGGTGGTTGGAGGTTTATGAACACCTATTGGCACGCTTGCTTGTACCTGTGAAGATTAAATGACTTTAGGATGTGTTAAGATGATGGAAGGGGAAATTGTAGGAGGGCAATTCTGTGACGGGGTTCTTGTCGTTGTTATGACCTTGAGTGTTACATACAGGAGACAACTTGTCACATGTCATTATGGTTTTATGACAGTTTACTTGATGATTTAGTTTACTTGATGATTACCGGGATAAGATGCGACTCAGTCTTCATTGGCCAGGTATATGAAGGCAGTATGATGCCGATGAAAGTATGTAATTGTTTACTAACACGTTACATGACACAGAGTTGGTAGGGTAGCCTTGTGATTGTAGCATTGGTTCTACATGAAAGGCCCCATGTTTGATCTTCTTCATAGTCAATGTTCCTTATTCATCGACCCACTATGATACGGCTGGAATATGGTTAACAGTGACATTGAACCATATTTGCTGACTTTCATGAGAGTTGCAATTAAATTTCTTGAAAACTGGAATCTATTGTGTTTTAACAATGTATAAAGTTACAAAACATTTAACTGAAGGCTGAATTGAAATTTTGGGTTTCATCTTCCTTATTCTTTCAAATTGACATATCGGTACAAGTACTGTAGGCGATGTGACGGTACAGGTGCTAGTACCTTGTCAAGCAATGTGACATTGGTACAGGTGCTAGTACCTTGTCAAGCAATGTGACGTATTGGTTCAGGTGCTAGTACCTTGTCAAGCAATGGGACATATTGGTTCAGGTGCTAGTACCTTGTCAAGCAATGTGATGTATTGGTACAGGTGCAAGTATTTTGTCAAGCACTGTGATGTATTGGTACAGGTGCTAGTACCTTGTCAAGCACTGTGATGTATTGGTACAGGTGCTAGTACCTTGTCAAGCACTGTGATGTATTGGTACAGGTGCTAGTACCTTGTCAAGCACTGTGATGTATTGGTACAGGTGCTAGTACCTTGTCAAGCACTGTGATGTATTGGTACAGGTGCTAGTACCTTGTCAAGCAATATGACGTATTGGTACAGGTGCTTGGACTTTGTCAAGCAATGTGACATATTGGTACAGGTGCTAGTACCTTGTCAAGCAATGTGACATATTGGTACAGGTGCTAGTACCTTGTCAAGCACTGTGATGTATTGGTACAGGTGCTAGTACCTTGTCAAGCAATATGACGTATTGGTACAGGTGCTTGGACTTTGTCAAGCAATGTGACATATTGGTACAGGTGCTAGTACCTTGTCAAGCAATGTGACATTGGTACAGGTGCAAGTACTTTGTCAAGCAATGTGACATATTGGTACAGGTGCAAGTACCTGTATCAAGCACTTTCTTGATAAATGTACTAGCACATGTACCGGTATAGCATTGAAAGAATAAAGAAGTATATGACCTTAAATCAACTCAGTCTTCATCGTTACTACATCTTCCAAAATGTTATCTTTTAATTGATACCTTCAAAAAGTGATGAGTTAATTCAGTTAAGTTAAAAATAACTTCAAAAATATTCTTTTATGATTCTTGTCCACTTTAAGAGATATTCATATTTTTTTTCATTGCACTCTCATATATCATTGAACAGTTCCAGGTTCACAACAACAGCTTTGATGTAAGGAGACGTGTCTATTGCCACATGTTCAACTGTCAGTCGATATGCTAATAGTCTGATGACAGAACAATAGCCATGTTGTGTCAGGCCCTTTTTTCACCATCTTCCTGAGACATAAGGGGCAAATAATGGAGAGGGGAGGAGCTTATTATCTGAATCTAACCCATATCTGGGGCATCTGAATCCATGAAGATGTAAGGGCTGTGATACAGGTAATCCATATGGGAGATAGATGGGTACTTGTTGTTAAACTCCTTCTTGCTCTGATCTGCTTCAGGGGAGTGTCGACCGGGCCCTAGAGTCTCTCGAGCAATTTGTCATCCGCCACTTTGATGTGGACATGAATGATCCTGGCTCCTGTGATCCCAACAAGCTCTTCTGGTATACCTGCTTCTCAACCTCGACAGTCGCCCTGATAACGGAATCGCAAACAGCTTGAATTAATGGACTTATCAGTCAAAAACTATGTGGAGATTCGCAATCATCTGGAATTGTGTTTAAGGGAATGTTGATTCCTCTTGTGTGACTTTTTTCAGAAAATAAGTAATTTTTTAGTACACTGAAATTTTGTTTTTGTGCGAGTCATTTTTCAAGAAAACATAATTCAATGACCTGGAATTTTATTAAAGAAAATTTTGTTTTGTTTTTTCTTAAATGTTGTGAAAAATGGACACTATTTTAGAACATTGAGTTCCTATTCTTGTGTATACCCATGACACTATAAAAAAAATATGTTTCTGAATAGATTTTAAAAAGACAAACCTTAGATCACTGAATTTTACAAATACAGAGTTAGAACCTAATCAGGGGTGATTTGGGGGATGTAAGAATAAGAAAGAATCATATTGAAATTTCTTTGAATTTTTAGTTTTAGTTTTTTTCAAAGATTATAATGTGATTGCTGACATTGCTAATCACATCAAGATTTATGCGGTGTACACAACCTCTGAATAACGTCAGCTGCAGTATGTTGAGATTATTGTGCAGTAAATCTATTTGTCAGGTGCGGCTGAAGTAGGGGTGGCCACTGGTGGTGTGATACTGTGCAGTAGATTACACACAGCTGTGGGGGGATCAGTCAGGCACATGGAGACACGTGGGGGAAAGGTGGCCCCATGAAACTTATAAAACTGATCATGGCATGATGCTAAACTTCATCGGGGGCAAGTTAGGGGATGTAACCAGGAATATTATCTGCCATGATGACAGGCTTTAATGGTTTAGGAAGATTATGTTTTTATGGTTATGGTTATGGGGATGTTTGAAAATATTTTTATTATTATCAGTATGAGATATGATGTGGCTTAGAAGCGGTATATCATCAAAAACAACAAATCTGAAACGCTTTATTGATTCATATAGATTTTAATGCAGAAATGTCATTGTTTATAGCATGTTTAGCAGTGTTTGAAAATTAGGTATGAAAGGTTGGGGTCCTTGAAATAGGAGCCTACTTTCAAATACTACAAAGCAGCAACCTCATCTTGATAACTGTTAAAGATGTTATAGCTTGTGATTTTTTGTTCAGAGGGAGTGACAAGAGTAGAGGGTATTAGTTAACCATAAATAAATTACTACAGGTTTCTGTAATATCTGTACTATTGGAAAATGAATACTAAAGTTTGAAGAAGTAAACTGTTGTCAGCAGCCATTGGCCAAACAGGTGCTCAAGGGAGATAGAACACTAGCAAGAATATTAAGATTGTTCCACCTTCAACACTGAAAGATGTACTGGCCAATCTGATATTTGCAGCACCCTGTTGGGCCTGCCAGCACCTTTCAAGAGTAAGCCACCGGTGTTGAAGAAAGAAGTTAATGGACATGTAGAAGCAAACAAGTTATACTACTGGCTGACATACAGGTACGTGTAAGCTAGAGATTACTTTGGATTTCATGTAGCAGGTTAACACCTGCTCACCCAATCCCACCCACTCACCTTATCCCACCCAAACTCCATTCACCCACTCGCCTAAACACACCCAAACTCCATCCACCTACCCATCTATCCACTCACTCACTCACTCACTCACTCCATTAAGAGTTGCCTAAAATCGAGGTCCAGCTCCTTGATTAGGCTGATTGTATCTCATAAAACATCATTTGTGTGGATCAGTGCTCATGCTTTCAGTCACTGGTTTGTCGGGTCCAGACTTGATAATTTTACAGGTCGTGATGTAGTTGGAAATATTGCTGACTGGCGTTTTACAACATTCCCATACTCATCATAAGAGACATAGTCTTACATCAGGTTCCCCTCATGCTCATTCACTCACTCACCTTGGAAGACTGACTGTATGATGATGGCATTCCCTAAAGGAGGACTATACTGCATCTGTTTGCTATTTGCAGTACAGGGTGCCATTGTACAGAGCGATCTTAGCGCTAAGGTGATCGTAGCTCCCATACCTTAACATAGACTTACGACTGTCGTAGCACTAAGGTTGTTTTGTACAAAGGCACTTTTGTCTAGTACTTGTGCATTGTACTTAGTGCCCTGTTTGAGGCTGAAACAATGTCCCCATATGATTTGGATAATCGAGAACTGCTGGAAAATGAAATATATATACAACTCAAAAGAAGTTAAGGAAGGCCCACCTTTTTTTTATTGATCTTCAGCAACCCATGCTACGTGGGCATGCCAGAAACCTATGATTGTGGGTTCAAATCCTTGTTCGCCCCGATTATGTTTCTAGGTTTGTCAGCACCATACCCGTGCTCGTGGGTTTCCCCGAAGTGGGAAATGTCTGAGACCTGCATCACTTTGGGCTTTTCTCCCACATTAAGCTGACATGTCGTAATATGACTGGAATAATGTTCAAAGCGTTGTTAAACCCAACTCACTCACTCACTCACGCTCTTTCTTAAGGGGCGACTAACAGGATCAGGAGGTCAGACTGGCTGACTTGGTTGATGCATATCATCGTATCCCAATTGCATAGATCAATATTCATGATGTCAATCACTGGATTGTCTGGACCAGACTCGATTATCTCAGACTGGCGTCCTGTAACCTGAGTGTATCATTGAACAACAACCAAAAGAGAAATTAAGAATTGCTGAGTCTGGCTCCCTTTAAGTTGTCCAAGTTGCACTGAATATTACAAGGTTTTTTTTATCAGAAAGAATCTCTTGTTCTGGGGTTGTGTAATAAATCTACAGCTTCAACATTTTCAATTTTGTATTTAAAAACTTACGTACAGAAACAATTACTTGCATGAAATGATGTTGACATTTGTTGTAACAGCAGAATGGGTTGTTTGTTGTATTGATGTTGAAGGTACTGATGCGTTGAGGACTAGATGGACTTGTGGTTGTCGACTAAGGGAATGGAACCAACATAATTGCACAATGTTGGCATGTATGCACAGATGATTAATGGAAGGTTTTGACATTCCGTTACAACATGTATTTTAATTACCAACAAGACAGCAAGCCCATGTCAATAAACATTGGATCACAATTATGAGCACATCACTGGCATGTCAATTAGAAAAGGGATATTGAATTGTCAAATATGTAAATATTTTCACAAATCATTCCTGATTTAAGGGGAAAACAAAATCAATTATGTTTTTCCCTTGGGAGCTTGTAGTGGGTGCTTGAGAGGTTGTTATGACATCTGTCAGGCATCTGTCGGGTTGTGAAGTGCAGTGTTGCCTTGTCCACCCTTTACAGGGAGGCTGCTCTGACATCACACTGGCACAATGATAAGTCTGTATCTAGAAGAGGGAGTGGGTTGTCCACAAGTAGTGACAGGGGATCTATAGTAAAGAAATGATCTGCCAAGTGATGATGTGTGTTATCTTAAACTGGGGTCATAAGAGATTATGTATTTTTATAAGCGGTTAACTTAGGTTTTTTTGTGTTCTTGATAATCTATATAAAACAAAAAGATATTTTTTAGGTTTGAGGATTGGAATAACAATTCCTGTTGATTTTTTTGATTTTTTTTTTAAAGAAGTATGCCGGGGCTATACAGGGCTTCCCTTCAATGACTACTGGTAGTAATAATTTGGAAAGACTAGTTAGTTCCTTCTTACCATGTCTAATTGTTACATAAGCCACTAGACCAATGATAGAAATTGGCACTAGTCCTGTTGTTTTTTGTCCTTGCCAAACGGCCTATTAGTTAAGGTGTCATAAGGATAAGAAGAAATTAGCTAATTTTAAGGGTATGTTATCACTTTAAGGACCAGTAGACTAAAAATATTAATTCCCACCGCTGCTACACAGCATGAGTTGACTGAACCTTTGAGAAGTGTTTTATGAACTGCAAGTGTATTCAGCTGTGCCTTGCATCATGCCCTTCATGTGAAATCATAAAAAAATTGACAATTTGGTACGGGTAAATAAAAACGGTTTGCTTTGGTTTCATTTAGTTGTAAGTCTTTAGGTGCTTTTTGTGGACTCGAGTTGACTACAATGTCAACCCCTGTAAGTTATTTGAGAAATGGCATTTTCAATATTTCTGCCAAGTCTAAAAATATTAACTTTTGGGAAATAACTGTTAAATGTCAGGGCAGTCGGTTCACGACAGTATTCAAATAATGGGAGGAATATGTCTTTTTGTCCCAGTGCTAATTGTAGTCCAGGAATGTAGACCTTATTATAATCCCCATTGTGGCCAAATGTGGGGACATGGAGATAAAAGAAATGTCAGCAGCCAGACAGGTTGCAGCAGCAGAGATAGGATGACAGTTGGATTGGTCCTTGGAAGGTGTGGCCATGAACCTAGACACAGCATTGCAATTAACATGGCAACTGTATGTTAACTGTAACATTACACGGCGTCTTGTTACATGTCAACAGGCACCTGTTGTAACAGTTAGATTTCTGTGGATTGATGTAACTCTTAGAACTGATCTAGGATCAGTTATGTGTCGGTCATTATTTTGTTGAAACACTTTTGGAATAATTTCACATTCTGATTTCGTTTCTGTTACTTTAACTTTTTAAGAAATGCAGATAGTGTTTTAGTTAAATATTATTTATTGATTTCTTCATTAACGTGTTAATTTGCTAAGTAGATTGTCATTGTCATTTTTGTACTCGAATGATACCATAGGGAGCGTATGTTTTATGTTTGTGCTTTGTTTGGAAATTTGTAACTCATATTTTGAACTGCGGGGGTAGAAAGTGACAAGCGGTCATGTGTAGATAGTCATTATTACAGACAACAGAGCTGCATTAGGAAATGTCCCAACTAGGGGTATCCTCATAAAAGTCTATCTCTATTGACACCAGGGCCACATTGTACAAAGTGATCTTAGCAATTCGATAGTCTGAAGTCTATGTCAAAGTATGGTAGTTATGATTGTCTTAGCACTAAGCTTGCTTTTTTGAATCGGGTCCGGTTATCTAAGGTGCCGCATACCTATGATTTTTGGTTGAAACCCCATATTCGCCCTGATTATGTTTCTTGGTTTGTCAGCACCATATTTAATAGCTCATGCTCATTGGTTTCACCAAAGTGGGAAATGTGTTAAGACCTACATCACTTGGGGCTTTCCTGCTACATCAAGCTTATGTGCCATGGGGGCGGTCGGGTAGCCTGGTGGTTAAAGCGTTCCCTTGTCACGCCGAAGACCCGGGTCCAATTCCTGACATAGGTACAATGTGTGAAGCCCATTTCTGGTGTCCCCGCCGTGATATTGCTGTAATATTGCTGTAATATTGCTAAAAGCGGCGTAAAACCATACTCACTTATGTGCCATGGTATAACTAACATAGTAACAAGTTTTTCAAGGTGGTGGTAAGCCCAACTCGCTCGCTTGCTTGCTCAATCACTTTTGACACCTATGAAAAATGCTTTGGCCCATAATTATTCAGAAGTTCTACATTGTATTAAATCTTGATATCAGCATCCTGTATTGAAATACTTCCCCTAAGAAAAGACAGACAAGTTTAAAGAATTCAAAACCACGAAGTCAAAGACCTGTATTATCAAACAAATTGTGCATGTTGTTTTGTACGTTTGTTCAAAGATTAGTATAATCAATGTCTCAAGCAAGGAGATTATTGTAGGTGCTTGAGATTGTCTGACTCCACAGGGGGCCATCCTCCAGTTGACCTGATGACTTGACCTGAGACAGTGTAGGGTATTGTACTCTGCTAATTACTATCTCCTTATCCAGAAGAGTTGGCTGATAGAGAGGTGTGGCTAGGGAGACCTACTGGGCTGGGAAAATGTCCTGATGTTTCTACTTGTTCAGGTGTATCAGACAGGAACTGGACTTGATGTTAGGACATTCACGTCTGTCACCTATTACATCAGAGGACTTTAATCTTGAAGGGGGATTAACCAAGTGTCGTGCATCTTGTTTGTATTCTCTGAGTATGGTATTATATCGTCAGGAATCGATCATGTTATGTCATATGATTGTCAGTGAGGATGGGTGTTGATAATGGGGAATAAACGTTTGTGTAGAAACTTGGTGATATTAATCTGAAACGACACTTGAATCAGAGTTAGATACTGTACATCATTTTGATGATGGCAGGTAGGGTACCTGAGTGGTTAAAGCACTCACTTGTCAGGCTGAGAACCTGCTTCAGAGACCGATAGGGCAATGGCAAATGTTTGTGATAATTCTCAAATTGGAAGAGGAAAATACCAATATAGGTTCATCATAATTCATGAGCTTATTTTATTTTTTGAAATTAGTTTTACACTAATTGCATTGAATGCAATGCTGAAATAACTCTAAATTTAACAAAATAAGGAGTTCCAGTATGATGTTAAAAAGAAGTAGCACCTGATTGAAAATCCTTTCTAAATCAATGCTGGCTATTACCTGAATTATTTGTTTGTTATGTAATGCCGCACTCAGCAGTATTCCAGCTTTATGACGATCTGTAAATAATCGAGTCTGGACCAGACAATCCGTTGATTAACATCATGAGCATAGATCTACGCAATTGGGATACGATGACAGGCATCAACCAAGTCAGCAAGCCTGACCACCCGATCCCTTTAGTCGCCTTTCGCCTTCCCTGAATTGACAATTCCTAACATTTTCTTTAAATGTGGAAGAAGATTTCCTTGAGGGTTGATGTATGAATGACAGGTATCAGTAAGTGTGCCAGACATATGTTCAATATGTTGTTTTGTCTGTTTGTTGTTTGATGCTGCACTCAGCAATATTCCAGCATGTAAATTATCAAAACAAGGTCAGACAACCAGTGATTGATGTTATGAGTAAAATCCCACACCATTGGGGTACGACGATGCACCTCACTGATTTGGACAACCTGATCCACAGACTAGCCTTGTACAACAAGCAGAGGTCGCAGGGGGCCTATTCTATCCCAGAATCCTCATGGGGGCATGGGTGGCCCAGTCGTCTAAGGCGCCACGATTCGCTGTGCAAAGTTGCATCTCTGGGTCACGCCAGAAATCTATGATTGTGGGTTCGAATCCCGGTTTGCCCTGATTATGTTTCTAGGTTTGTCAGCACCATACCCGTGCTCGTGGGTTTCACCGAAGTGGTCAACGTGTGAGACCTGCATCATTTTGGGCTTTCCTCCCACATTAAGCTGACACGCCGTGATATAACTGGAATAATGTTAAAAGCGGCGTTAAAACCCAACTCAATCACTCACTCACCCAGAATCCCCACAGGGTTCATTATATAATGTTAGGACTACAGTTGATGATGACATAACTCTTAATGATCCAACAATCTGCTGACCTCTTTAAATAACACTTAATCTTCAGCCAATTGACGTTCTATGTCCTCATCACACTCTAACATCCCACTAACAATACCTGCAAACACCTCACCACGAGTATTGACTGTAAAATGTCAGACAGTGTATACTAATTCCACTGGACATATTTACATAGGATGAAAAAGCTGCTTATCCCCTCCACACAAAGGCTGAACCAGGAAATGCTGGACAGACCTCCAACAATGGTCTACATTTGACACTGACACCATACAGAATACACCAATTTCCCAATGTTGATGGAACCAACAAAAGTAATCCTCTTGAATTGTGTGCCGTGTGGGACTGGTCTATGCTTACAGACATAGCTTCTATAGGGCTTTCACTGGGTGTGTGTTCTGGTCATACCAACTCTGGATGGGTCGCTGGACCTGGTTCAGCTATGCATGGACTTGACCAGTATCATGTATCTACTGGTCAGAAATCTGGCTTGTTCCGGGAGGTAAAAGGGATGCTTAATTGCAACCACCCTGTGTACTATTCTTGACATCATTATGTTGGTTCTTCAGGGTTAAAGGGGGCACAGGTGGCCCAGTCGTCTAAGGCGCCGCGATTCGCTGTGCAGAGTTGCGTCCCTTGGGCACGCCAGAAACCTATGATTGTGGGTTTAAATCCCGGTTCGCCCCGATTATGTTTCTAGGTTTGTCAGCACTATACCCGTGCTCGTGGGTTTCACCAAAGTGGTAAACGTCTAAGACCTGCATCACTTCGGGCTTTCCTCCCACATTAAGCTGACACGCCGTGATATAACTGGAATACTGTTAAAAGCGGCGTTAAACATCACTCACTCACTCACTCACTCACTCACTCACTCACTCATGCTGTGATTTAACCCATCTCATGCATTCACTCATTCATATTACAATATCAGCTGACAACAGCCAAGGTGACAGTAAATATTTTCAATATCACCTTGATTGTGGTTCGAGGTTTGTCAGCACCATACCCATGTTTGTATGTTTCACCAAAGTGCAGAAATGTCTAAGTCATGAATCACTTAAGACTTTCAACCTATGAAGTTCTGGGTTGGAATAGGCTTCAGCAACCCATGCTTGTCGAAAGAGGTGACGAATGGGATTGGGTGGTCAGGACTTGATTGATGCATATCATCGTATCCCCATTGTGTAGATTGATGCTCATGATATCAGTCACTGGATTGTCTTGTCCAGACTTGATTATTTGCAGACCGCTGTATTATTGCTGAGTGCGTCATTAAACTTTTAACAACAAACAAATAATACTTAGGCGTTCGACCCACATCAAGCTGGCACTCTGTGCTACAACTGGAATACTGTCCAAAGTGGAATAAATCCAAACTCACTCACTCACTCAACGATATGCTGACTTACGACATTCAAATTGCATTGACTATTGTATCTCCATTCTAGTATTATCAGCTTGCAATATTCAAGATGTTGTGAGTATTTTGTGTACATTAGATATGCATTTGATGAAAATGTTTTATTGCATCCTGAGCATCTCGTTGCTGTGATGATGCAGTGACATTGCTATGCTGTTGCTGTGACATTGTGTGCTGTTGCTGTGACATTGTGTGCTGTTGCTGTGACATTGTGTGCTGTTGCTGTGACTTTGCCGTGCTGTTGCTGTTGCAGCGTGCTGCTGGAGCTGCAGGGAGACACCCGGGAGTGTGTGGAGGTGTTTGAGACAGTGTTGTCATCTTGCTACAAGGCAGAGGACCTCAAAACTCTCTGGATCAAGTATGTGTATTTCTTTTCCATATTGTGTGCCAATTTTTTCGTTCATTTGAGAAATGTTATCGCTTGTATCGCTTAATTAGATGTATATCTGTATTGATGAATTTGCCACAATAAGTTTTAAAATTGCTGATGGGATGTATATTCACTGCCATTGATAACATTTTGGTGATGATAATAGTCTAACCATATGGATAATATTTTTTATTAGAATATTATTTTCATTAATGTTCACCCATGCATACTTAGCATTACTATTGAGATTGGGAATACTTACATGATATCAAATACAATTTGGTGTTTGGGGAAAAAACATCCTCAAGCAATCTTGATTCTTTTCACAAGATTGTGCAAATTGAACAGAGTGTGTTACTTCCATAAGAGTTGGACCAGGGCAAGCATGTGTGGTGGAGATGGCAGGTGCTTGTGGTGGTTGCAGCTATTCAGGACACATGGCACTGTGTCCAACTTGTCTTTCTTCCACCACCCACTCACTCCCCTAGTGTTGTCACTACCTCTCACACTCGCCTTGTTACGCCTGATCCCAAATATAACACAAGGCTTAATAACCCTTTTACTGCTGTCAGGGCCTTTGTCACTTGATAACTGCCTCTGTGTCCCTGGCCTTCTCATACTAAAAGATGTGAAAATAAAGTACTTGTTGTTACCCTGTTTGGTGTATGGAGGACACTGATATGTTTAATTGCCATGTAACATCAAGAATATGACAATTTTTGTGTTTGGAGACGTTTTCAGTAGAATTAATTTATGATGGGTGATTATAAGCTGAGCTATCAAGATCTATATGTGGCAAAAGTTGTGGAATGTGTGACATAAGGAGTGAATATTAATGTAAATTGTGATCACTGTTGACTCTGACAACTGCCTGTCATCATATTGGTTGCTGTGAATGATGGTCCTGATGGAAGCCCTTGGGATAAGGGCCCCGTCCCACAAAGTGATGTTAGCTCTAAGATCACTTCGTGGAACAGAGCCCAGGAGCCTCTCCTCTTGCAGAATTGCAAAGAGTTCTAGTTCAAGTTCATCCCACAGGTGTTTAATGGCGTTGAGGTCATTGCTGTCTGGGTGAGCGTTATCCTGTTGGAAAGAAGCTAATGACAACTATATAGACAATGGGTCCACTTTAAGATGGGTATAAGTCTGGCCTATAGTTGTAGGTTTTGCCAGCCCTCATCATCACTGAGCCACTATTGGTCTTTCTGTGCAATGTGCTTGTAGCTCATCCGCATGTCTCCAAATGTAACCATCTGTGAATATGCGAGGTAGAATAGGTCTTCAGCATCCCATGCTTACCGTTAAAGGCGACTATGCTTGTCGTAGGTTGCGACTAACGGGATCGGGTTGTCAGGCTCGCTGACTTGGTTGATGCATGTCATCGATCCCAATTGCGTGGATCGATGCTCGTGATATTAATCACTGGATTGTCTGGTCCAGACTTGATTATTTACAGACCGCTGTCATATAGCTGGAATATTGCTGAGTGCGGCGTTAAACAACAAACAAAAAAAACAAAAAAACGCAACTGCTTGAACTATATACCAGTGAACCAATAAGCATGTAGGTACATCACCTCATCCTTTCTGTATGGGTTTGAACTCCACTCGTGTTTATCTGGGATGATGTCGGTCTCATTGTACCCATTTTATGCTCTAAACATTTAAAATTAATTTCACTTGCTGCTTAACACTTGTGATGTTCTACACATATGTGCAGCTGTTTCAAGAAGAACAAATATCAACATCTGGTATGAAAATTATATGTTTTACCCAATAATACAGTAGTAGAAAAGCAGTTTGTCTTTTTACATAGTTAAAACATTGTAGTTTTCATTGTCATCAAAATTACTATATATTTTCAGTTATTGATAAATTTCATACAAGCTTCTCTCACAAGTGTAATAAAGGCATTCCACTTGTAAGTAAAATGAACAGGATATATACTTATGTTCAAAGCAGTATGCATTGGTTTCTTAAATTGAAATTTTTGCAGTTCCTTGGGATATGGAGAGGACTGTTCATTCGAATTCATCCTCCTAGATTTGTATCTACCCAGAAAGGGTTAACCAAGATGCAGGCACACAATACCCCAGTCTTTATTTATGTAGAGCCTTCTGTCCCGATCCGTCTTAATATGTCAATTAAAGCTAGTGGTGAGGGGTGTACACTTATCATACAAATAATGCCTTTATCCTCGCACCTTCAATTTAAGGTCAGAGATGATTCTCCCATGAGGAGCTGACAATTGTACCCAGCATTAGTGATTCTTGATTCTAGTCAGCTCAGAGGTGTGAGGCCAAAGAATAATAAAAACCTCTTGTGAATGAAACTTTAGATGGGAGACTGATAAAAAACCTAGTAAATAAACACTTGGATCAATTTAAGTAATCCCCAAATCTTATCTAGCGCAAACAGAAAAGGATTAGCGCAACAACGGAAGGAGAGCAAGAGAGGGTGGCAGGAAACGTGCAAGGAATCACAAGAGCCTTGTCACCACTGATGGCTTGTGTCTGTGTCTTACAGACATGGTGGTGGTTGTGGGTTGTTCTGTCAGACATTGTGCTTACCTCGAGGTTGAGCACCTTGGGGCATGTACCATAACCTGATACTGACAATATCACACAGAATATTTTTCCTATAGAATGATGCAGTGTTTAGGAAGGGACATATTTCATTGTGTTAGTTAGGTAGTCTCTCTTACAGACCCCTGTGTATATATTTCCTGTTCTCTTCCCCTTGAGACTTAAGATTCCTTAATAAATGAGTGTCTGACTTAATCACTGTGCTGATTTCAGACAATTATCGGTTGGTAATGATATGTGACCTAGCTGATCTGATGATGTCATGGATCATTGCTCCTGCTATCAACCACTGGTTGTCTGGCCCAGCCTCAATTATTTATCTTCTGACGGGTTAAGCTGGAATATCGCGAACATGTGTTAAACAATAGGAACTCACTCACTCAGAAAATATAGATCTGAAAATAGCATCAGAGGCAAGATATTTTTGATGTGGAATATTTTTCAAAACTGTTGTAAAATGAACTTCTCCTTTTCCAGGCTTGTTATTGTAGGTCATTGAAGACAGGACTCGTGTAGTAGGATTTGTGTCATAGAATAGAATCATGAAAGCAACCTTTTTTTCCAGCTTTACCATGTGTTACCTTTATTCCTGATGAGGGTGTTTGTTTGTGGATTTAGTTACCTGGAATACCATCACCGGCAACTAGAGGGTGCAGTGAGCAGTGATGTGCGCCTGCGTGAGGTATTTGACTTGATGGTACGGAGTTTGTCAACTGTTCCCACCAAGTTCCCCGTCCCCTTCTCAGATGATGGTGCTACCTGGAGGGACTATCGTCAGGTCAACAAGATGATCCACACGTACCTCACCATGATGTCCAGAGAGGAAAGACTGGCTGCTCTGGAGAAGTTTGTCGAAATAATGCCTTCAAATGTTGACCTCGTCATTAGGTGAGTCTGATGGCCACAAATCATTGTCTTTGATCTAATTTGTAAGAGTGATCTCTATGCAAGTATATATGTTTTTTCATTTTCATTGCAAAATGATGAGAAATTCATATCGCCTTGGAATTATTTTGATATGAAAGTGATAGTTGAATAACTTGAGCCAGTACGACATTCTTAGTTGACAAGTGTTCAGGTGAACAAAGTTTGCATTTTGCTGTGATAGATGACAACATGGATGACCAGCTGTATTGTACTTGAGTTTCTCCATGAATGTGGGGCGGTCGGGTAGCCTAGTGGTTAAAGCGTTTGCTCGTCACGCCGAAGATCCGGGTTCGATTCCTGACATGGGTACAATGTGTGAAGCCTATTTCTGGTGTCCCCCGCCGTGATATTGCTGGAATATTGCTAAAAACGGCTTAAAACCATACTCACTCACTCGCTCTCCATGAATGTTTGTTTTTTAATGCCACACTCAGCAACATTCAGACGGCGGTCTGTAAATAATTGAATCTGGATCAGACAATCCAATGGTTGACATCGAGAGCATCAATCTACACAATTGGGATATGATTACATGCATCAACCAAGTCAGCAAGCCTGACCAACTGATCCTGTTTGTTTCCTCTTACAACAAGCATGGTCGCTTTTTACGGCAAGAATGGGTTGCTGAAGACCTATTCTATCCCAGATCATCACATGGTTTTCCATGAATGAACCATACCATTACATTGATGAGAATAGATGGTCGCAAGACTGTAGCACAAGACTGTAGCACATGTTGCTTGAGAACTATTGCTGTTTGTGCAATGTAAAATTTGTCAGTTAAAAATAGTGACGACATTATACAGTAGAATCTATTCACAGATGATGGATGAACATAGTATGTACAAACCTGTGTGAGTACGGTATATGTTTCCTGCCCTTGAGATTATTTTGATTTAACCTTAACCAGGGACTATATGTTACTCTGCTAGAAAGGTTACATGGATCTTCTAGGCTTAAGTTGGATGTGTACTGGGATTGTCTTCATATTGAGAAGTACTGAGTGTGACTGACTGTTGTAGGAGTGTGGAGGAGGCAGTGCTTGGGAAGGAGTACCAGCGTGCCCGCAGTCTCTACAACACACTGCTGTGGGAAGGAGTGGCCAGTGTCCATCTGTGGAAGATGTGAGTTGCAGCAGGGATTCCGCACACAGTGTGCTTCGTATTATACAGTAGCCCCATACATTCTTGTCATAGCTCTGTGTGTGTATTATAAAGTATTGGTTCCGAGATTAAGATACTGTTTCCCTTTCCTCAAAAAACCAACCCCTTAAGTTTAACACTCATGAATAGAAATTCTGTTTTTCACTTTTGAAATCTCACCTAAATATTCATTTTTTAATTTTACTGATATTGTTAAACCTGATATATTGATGCTAGTCATTTCAGTCCCGTTCTACAGGTTCCACTCAGCCAGACAGATAATGTTAGTATGTGGTACCTGGATTTGGTGAAGGGTTTAGACTAGTTGTTTGTCAAGTGGATCCACTCAGCAGTTATTGTCACATTGATAGTGATCTGTATGCATACAGGATCTCACTGTCTGCGAATGTTCAGTCATGGTGATGTTTTGCGCTGTTCCAGGGTACTTGGTCTTGCTCAGAGGCAGGGATCTGTGAAAGAGGTTAGCCTGAAATATCACTAATATGTCAAACTTTTTACTGTCAATTCAACCAAGCAAGGACACAAAACATATGTCACATCCCCATCATCCTTTCACTGGTCTTGACCAGTGTCCAAAATAACTGCCTGCCCGCCTGCCCGTGGCTAGTAACTTTTCTGTCAGGCTGATTGACATTTTTCTCCACCCGCCGGACTGTCCGGCAGATAATTTTAAGACTACTAAGAGATTCAGTTTTATCATAACTCCTTGCAGATTCACAAGTAATTGTTTGCATTATTTCAACTGAATGAAGGTGCGATTTGTCTCTTAGTTCTTTTTCTCTTTTTTCATTATTTATGTCTGAATGCCGGCAGGTAACTTTGAAGAAGGGCAGGCAACACTTATGTGGGTTATCTGCCTGACTGTCTTGTTGGGTTTTAAAATTATTTCAAACACTGGTCATGACTACTTGTGGGTCATTGTGCCTCAATGAAATTGCTGATATTTTCTGTTGATTATTTACAAGGATATGTTTGCCAGAATATTGCTGACTTCGAAGTTAAACACACTCAAATTTCACTCACTGTCTATGATTTGAGTGCTCTTTATTTTTTTTTGTGTATCCAGACTTGACATTTGTTTGGTTTCAGATGGAGAAGCTCTACGTGAAGGCTGTGCGAGCTCTGCCTATGGCAGTGACTATGTGGAAAGATGTAATGTATTCCCTACCACTACTTGGGTGTTTTAGATATAGCTTGTCTTGTGTCATGTAACATATCTTGTCTGTCAAATTGTTGGTAAGTAGAGAAACAGCTGTCATCCTGTCGGAGTCAGTGACTAACGCTTTTCCATCCCCTATAGAAGAATGTCAAGTATCATTTTGATTGCAAGCACAATTACTTATGAAAACAATCTGCTAATTTTGATGTGAAAGTTGTTACAATTGACTTGAAATTGTTTTAGCTGCTATAAGAAGCATTAACAGTCACAGTTGAAAAGGTTTATCTTGAACACACTGTCTCTGACAGTTATGACGTATTATGTAAACACAACGCTTGAAGCATGGCAGAAATTGACCAAGATCACATTTAGATAAATGAATTTATTTGGCTGGGCCTTCTAATGCTAAAGCTCATGCTGTCAACCACTGGTTTGCTTGACCTATATTTGGTTATATACTAGTTACAATGATGTAATGATGTCCATGGGATGTTGTTGACAATGGTATCATACTATCATGTAATGTAAAACCAAAAGTATCATGATTTGTGAGGAGCAGGGGTTGAATGTATTCTGTTGTCCATATTGTATTGTCTAATGGTTCGTTATTTTTTGTTATTTTGAGTTAAAGAATACATTGTATAGAGAGTTGATCCTGTTTTCTCACAGTTCCTGCTGTTCGAGGTGACGGAAGGAAGTCAGGCGACGGTTCAACAGATTCTAGCTCACTGCACCAGCATTGGGCTGAACATCGCTGGATTTGTGGCAACAATATCACCTTCTCAGTGAGAGCTACAAATAGCTGGCCATGTTGGAACTACGGGACCTTTCACCCCTTGAACCTGGAGGTCTGTGTATTGACCTTGGGCCAGTATCATGACCTTCAAACAAGGTCAAACCCATAGCACTCATGAGTTCGTCATTTGTACTTCTCTCTTATGGAGACAGTATCGCAGTGAGTATTTTGATGCCTTGACATGGGAGAAGTACTATAGTCAGTTGAAACAATTGTTCTTATATCATTAAAAGATAATTGGTATTCATTGGTTCCATGAAACTGAAGTGTTGCCAGAAATGAATAAGAGTAACTTTAACAATCAGTTTGTGTCTAAAGTTGACCAGATTTGATCCATATGTGTAAGCTTGTTCTTCCATGGTCTTGGCTTGTGTGGTTTGTTGATGATGGTCTTGACCGTCCAGACGATGCTGACTGATGGGAAGCAGCTCTTTCTTACAATGTGATACATACCTGCTTACAGAGGGAGGAGGACAGGTTGGATGTCTGTCTGACCGACCTGCAAAACCTCTTTCATTTGAATAGGCCACAACCAGTTGATTTCGTTCCTCTCTGAATTACTTTTTGAAAGTGAGAATTTGGAAAATCGTGTTTTTTGTGGCAGATACAAAACATGTGTCAACCAGAATGACATGAACCAAAGCAACACCATTGTACTTTTTAAAATACAAAGTCTGCCATCCATCCCCCTCCCCTAATATGTTCTGGTCAGTTGAAGTGATATGATGTTACTATGCTTCTTTGTTGAGAACAATAAGATCTGAAGTCATCCATTGTAAACAATGTCTGACGTTGATGACATTACATCATCGGAACTATGGGTTGACTTTAGCTTTCTCTTCTCATTCGTTTATTTTTTTTAAAATGACAATGAGAAAAATATAGAATAACCTACTGAAACCTTGGAACTATGGAATTTCTGACCCTGATGACTGAATCGTAAAGTTCCTAACTGACCGCTTGGACTTACAGCATTCACACAATTGGGGTAGATATTTCTTGATTCATCATAGTTCAGTTATTCTCTGAATAGTAACCTCTTCATAACCACAAACTATATGGATGGGAAGATTCTGATGAACAAGTAATTAATTAGTTGTGGCCATTTATAATCATCATTCTTTCTCAGATTGAAAGACAAGTTGTTGCCTTGCTTGCTTGAAATGGCTCATTTGGGGACTATGATTCAGTCGCATTCCTGTGATAGTGACTTTGTTTTGATACAGTTGGTATTTTGTGATCACATGAGAAAGTGTTGTTTCTACATATATGAGATGTTTTACAATCTCTGTCCAATGTTGTTACTGATCCTGTTGTTGTGTCCTGATGTTGTTTCCTATCGTTGTTCATGCATTAACAACCTCTGTAAATTGAGCTTCAGTTAGAACAGGTCCTCACTCTATACCCCCAGTGATGATGTTGGATCTTATAGATCTCAAAAACTTGAATTGGAAGGAAAAAGAGAGAATCCTGTCTTCAGAGATGCACATGGAAACTGGCAATCATACAAAGGTGCTTTGAAAAATTGAGAAATCCAGAATTGGCAGATGAATGTTATGACAACATACAGCTTGTTGTCAAGGAAGCAAAGAGGATGAGGATGAGGATGTTCCAGTATGTCATTGAGCTGAAAGTTTGGATGCAGTATCTGAACTTTTGTTTAGTGAGTTCTACAAATGCCAGTGTGGAAAGCCCAGTGAATGTTGAGGGATGATGATGGTTGCTGCTTTTACGAAAGATTCCTGCAACTGTTGCCAAACACCATAGGTTCCGCAAGACCGGACTCGAGTGTTTTGTGTTTTTTGCACTAAGAACACAATGCCTGGTTTTCTTTTGATAATTTTGTGACGTTTACGGTTTTGGAGTTGTAAGATAATGTATTTAAATATGTTAAAAATTTCAGCATTGAAATAATATTTACTTTTTAGATCGTCAAAAACGTCTTGTAGGTATTGTGTTCATAGTTAAGTTTCACTGCTTTGACTTGCTTAAAGGTACATTTACTAATCAACTTGACATTCAAAATTGAAGTTAATGGCTTTGACTGTGTGGAATTTCCCAAGATCAAATTTTTTTTTTTAATGAACAAATTCATGATTAATGGAAAGATAAGATTATTGACTTTTCAGATGTTTGAAGTTTCAAATTTTCCAAAAGTAATTGATAAAGATTGGTATTGTCAGGTTAAAACTTGTTCATGCGCAGGTCTTAAAAACCAGTAAGTAAGTTTCATCTTATGGTGTGCCTTCAATGCATTGTTCTGCAAGTATGCTTGTGTCAATGACGTGTGAGTAGTGTCTGGCTCAATCCCTGCTCAACTGCTAATGATACTTCATGGAACTTTATTATTCATGTGGCATACAAGGTGTAGTTTTTAGTACTTATTGCCATATATTTGGAAGTAGTATATGAAATATAATGTTTAATGATGACCAAAACCCAACATATTTTTCCTGGGAGGGATACATACAACTACAGGAAGATCACAGCCAGAAAATGAAAATTTGAAAATTGAAATTACTTCTTTGTTAAATATGATGGAAATTGTAACAAATTTCCAAAAAATATAGTTCGCTGAATGTTTTGTTTATGGTAAGAAGATTTGACTGTTTTGTAATATGTACATTGTTTGTAATTTTGATCCCAAATAAGTTAATTATTTATTGCTACCTACATATTACCCGGATGGTTGCAGCAATGGATTGAGCCATCACTGCACAGTTTGGTCCAATGTTTTGCACTAAGTCATCCTTTCTATAAAGTGAAGTAAGTTATGCACCAATATTCCTATCTATACATCAAAATTTACATGGACCACCTATCTGTATGTTTCTTTCTCTTGTATTTGAATAAAATATTAAAGAAAAAATGAATTTGTGCTCTTTGAGAGATGTGTTTCCTTGGGGAATGTTTTCTTGATTTCATGCTCTGACAGAGGGCCTCGATTGAAGGCAGTTGTCATTTTTGTTTGAATATTTACATTCCAGTTGAAATTCGATGGTGTAGAATAGAGTACAGTGTCACATGTCTGTTGAAGACCCTGGTGATGGGGCTTGGGTGGTTAATATACCTGACCTGAATGATGCTGAGTTGTGGGACCTGGGCCCACTTGCACAAAGCGATCTTAGCGCTAAGATGATCATAACTCCCATACTTTAACAGGCTTACAATAGTCCTAGTGCTTAGATCACCTTGTGCAAGTGGGCCCAGGTCCCACAACATAGATTGGCATAGATTGTTGTTCATGCTATCGACCACTGGTTTAGACTGATGTATGGCCACCAGGATATTCTTGAAATGGCCAACAGCAGTGTAAGTCAATGTTCGCTCCGTCAAATGAATATTGAAACACATTATGAAGGTAAATTGGATGATATTGTTTCCTACTGAATCAAAGATCAAGTGATACCATGTGAAGCTGCTGTTGATGTGGGTGACAGGTTGTCAGTCCATGTTCCTTCACCACAAAGCACTGACATCATGGTAAGTTCTATACTTTACCACAGTGATGGTCAAAACATTCACTCTCCCTGTATAGACCATGGATTCCCAACATTATGGGTGCATACCCAAGATGGGTTGAAATAGGTATTCAGCAACCCATGCTTTGCGTGAGTCGACTAGTGACTAACGGGATCGGATTGTCAGGCTTGCTGACTTGTTTGATGCATGTTATTGTAACCCAATTGGGTAGATCGATGCACATGATGTCAATCACTGGATTGTCTGGTTCAGACTCGATTATTCACAGACTGCCGTCATATAGGGGCTTTAAACAAACACAAAACCAGGACTGTAAGCGTGGTACAATGAGGAGATGGGGCGGTCGGGTAGCCTAGTGGTTAAAGCGTTCGCTCATCACGCCGAAGACCCGGGTTCGATTCCCGACATGGGTACAATGTGTGAAGCCCATTTCTGGTGTCCCCACGCCGTGATATTGCTGGAATATTGCTAAAAGTGGCGTAAAACCATACTCACTCACTCACTCACAATGAGGAGATACAATAGGGCACATGAATGAGCAGGTGTTCTTTTACACCACCATGTGAATTGCTGCTCTTGCAGTCAGAGGTTTGCAATCTCCAGACTCCGCATGTTTAGAGGATCCATAACTCATGGTTGACAAGGAATTTCTGCAACCATTTCCACGAAAAAGGTGCCAAACGTCTATGACTATCACTTCGAGCTTTGCCCTCATGTTAAGCTGTCCTATCCTGATATGGCTTAAATATTGTTCCACTCCGCGATGAACAACACTCGGATAAACCTAACTTGGTAAGAAAATTTATATTGGATACGAAAAACTATTTGAAAGTAAATGTGCAGCAAGCGGTGCTCGCTCAACCTTACCACAGGTGTGTATTCCATGCTTGAATCTGGCTGATGAAGTACTGCTTTTGGGGCGCAGGGATCATGAAAGTGATCTTACCGCTAATATTGTTCCTCACAAGTTTTGTCATCCAATGATAGTGGATTCGATGTTTCTCGGTTTGACAACACCATACCCGTGCTCATGTGTTTCACCTGCGTCACTTCGGGCTTTCCTCCAATATTATAACTGGAATACTGTTCACAGCGGCGTTAAAATCAACTCACTCACTCACTCACGCACGCACACACGCACGCACGCACGAACGCACGCGTAAAGACAACAGAAATAGGACCAGCCTGTAAAATCTTCACTATCCCAGGACTATAGCCTTGACTTCGGACTCCTGATCCCGTGTGGATGACGAATTCGATACTGTTTTCTTGAGTATTTTTTTTTATTGAGAAATGTTTCTTTGATAGTTAAGAAAAACAACAATTTTCAAGGCGCCGGCGAAACTATGTTTTGGAATGCAAAATTATATTATTAAGTTTACTTTATGATTGGGTTGAACTAAGGTGATAATAAGATCGGAGGAAGATAGCCGAGAAAAGCAATTACAGAGGAAGACACGCGGGGACAGTTGCGTGTGGAGCGTGATGATTTATACCCGGACGCACTCATTAAACGGTTTGAAAAGTTATAAATTATCACACAAAAAGATTAGAGGTCTTTAAATTCAAATACATTGGCAATAGTTCCTGACGGGACTAAACAACACAAAATGTTCAAGTTCAGCGGCTTGTATTCTCAAAAATATGGTTGCAGTGGTGAATGTATCCTCACTGTACCTCCTGTAGGGGTGAGGTGGAGTCATACTTATTCTATTATGGCATTAACAGGGAAGAATTTTTGGCAGTCTGGTTAGTATATCTTCTTTTAGCACCATACCCATTCCCCGTGGGTTTCACAAAGGTGTCTGGTGTC